AAAGGTCAAATATATGTCTTTAAAACTTTTGAAATGAAACGTATGGAGATAACGAACAGTATTCAAGATTAAAAGTCCACAAAACAATATAAAATAAGAGCAGAGCAAACATGAACCTCCAAAACATCAGAGGTGGGATCAGGTGCCATGGAGAAGAGTTACCGGCGTCATTGTGACGTCACAATCAAAACATCAAACAACGTTGTAAACAATGGTTGCAACGACCGCAGCGAGCTACGTATCCGAGCAGGAAAACAATTATTCAAACCTATTTCAGGATTATTTTTTAACATTTGGACGTCTTACACATAGCGAAAATCGGAGAGGAAAACACGGAGGTTACAAACTGTAATCTGGAGATTTTTTTTATTTTCAACAATGGAAGATCGCAAGTGAAAATGGTGTCATCATACAGCCTTCAATGTCTTATTTATTCAAATCCCGAATACTAGTATATAATAAAACAATTATGGACTCTTTTGGTGTTGAGTATGGTTTGTTATTCACCAGAAAAATATCCATATTGACCTCGGCTTCGCCTCGGTCAATATGAATATTTTTCTGGTGAATAACAAACCATACTCAACACCAAAAGAGTCCACAATTGTATATTAAAACTTAATAGCCATTCTCTGTAACCACTTAAACTTCGTTGCCACGCATGGTCACCGATTTTGATGAAACTTCACCCATGCTTAGTACTTGACACCAGAAACAAATATCAAACAAAATTTTGTTGCTATGTGTCTCGGTTGCTATGGCAACAGCCGGAAAAGTTTGAAAAATCGAGATTTTCACCCACTTTAAATCTTGACTGTGGCTTAATAAAAACTAGAAAAAGCAAACAAACCATTCTCACAAAAACATGACACCTTGATGTCACTTATACTGTAAAGAAACTGTTTAGAATATATCTCTAAGTAAGTGGTAACCAAGGGTACATTTGGAATACATTTAAAATGCTGAAAGATGCTGAAAAACACTCCGTATTCACTAATGGTAGGTGTAACATGCTCAAACTCAATCAACGACTTCAGAAAAACAATGAAAATGTTTGACCTTAAGTATATAAGTATAAGAAATATTATTCTATAAATAACTTTTATGGTTGCCATGGTTACACAGTGTAACCATGCAAAACCAGTAACTAAAACTGGGTTAATGCTACTGTCTTGAGGAAAAACATGAAAATTCAAGACTGGCAAATAAGCATCCTTATGACCTTGCAACACCAAAACCATAAGAAAAATTGGGTATAATTGCTACTTTGCAAAGTTACCATGGAAACAAAGTACCAGTGCTTAAAAGTGAATTTTTTTTTCGCTGCATTAATAATTAAATTGCCATTTAATCAAGAAACAAATTAAAGGACTCAGCTTGAATAGTACTTATCTGTTAGAACTGAAGTTGAATATCATATAATGATAAAATTTGATGAATAAAACAACACTGTTGCTATGGTTACCAAGAAGGGAAAATGTTCGATTTTGTGAACTTTATATCAATATTAAACCCTGTGTGCCAAATTCTTGCATCCACTTAGAGATTGGCTGATAGTCAAAATTAAAGTCAAGTTAGCTGTTAATAAATATCAATCATAAAAGTTTTGGGAATCTACATTTAAGGGAACATATCCAAGGAAAGAAAATATTTATCAGGTTTTTAAGCATATATTTTCAGCTTATTTCCATAGCAACGCTCTATTTAAAGAGTCTAGTCTGAATTTTTTCGAATGGGAAAATTTGGAGCACACCAACATCTTATAAAATTGATCAATAGTTATGCTTTTTTTAAAAGATAGGATCAGATTTAAACATACAGAGTGTTACTTTGATGGCTCTCTGTGGTATAAAAACCTTGGCAACCACTGCCAACCAAAATGAAATATCATATTTTGTTCTTAGTATATGTTTCAAGGCTCTTTTTTTCTATTATTTGGTCACCTTTCATCCTATACTTGCTTTTTATTTTTACGTGTATGACTTTATAGAATTCAATGAATATTTTTTTTCACTTTTGAATACTTTGTTACCATAGTGACATATGTAATAGTTGATTTACCAAACATTTTCATCATGCATTTGAGACATCTGACCTTCAACTTTTGGAAACAGTCATTGCCAATTGTTTGCTTTGCCGCAAATGTTAACTATGGACCTCTAATCATGTTTAAAAATGCCATTTTTCGAACTTTAAGACATGTTGCCATGGTAACTATAAAACATAGCAACCAATTTTTGCCTGATTTCAGTTTAGGGTATCAATCACGTTTATCATAAAGAGTTTGGTGAAATTCTGAGACTATGCGTGACACAGCTCCTATATGAAATTTCAAATCATTACAGAGAATGGCTCTTAACAAGTAATGGTATATCTATATTTGCATATCCATTGCTTTCTCCCACTATGAACATGCAGTCATCAACTGCATTCATAGCACTATAGACGCAACTGCTTTTGCTATGAATGCAATTACTCTTTCCCACTCGTGTAGTGTAGGCTCTACTACATTTATAGAGTGTGTTGAGAAGTATATATATGAAATGTTTCGTAAAAGGAATAAATATAAGTTTTAATAATATTTTTTTGGGAAAAAAGATATTCAGAACAATTTAAAATTGCTGATTTATTTCTTTAAAATTTAATTTTGGTCAAGGTATTTAATTGTATAATAAAACTTTTTAAAAATTGAAGAGAACTGCCATATTTTTATTTTTTCTTATCGTATTCTCGCATATTTGTACAAAGAACGATAACTCTTCACATTTGGGTAATAAAACATTCATAAAAAGCAAAATTTAAGGTATTCAATCCCTAATGGGAACAAATTCAGTGAAATTGAATACATAACTGATATATAGGCACTGAATACTCAGTTTATTTAGACATATTTCCCATTTATTACTATTAGTATGTATAGTGGGATGTGTCCTAATTTATGACCTTGAGTTTGGGTGAGAGTTATCTCCCCTTATTATAATTAATAAAAAAAATCAATTGAAAAAAATTAGCCGGTAAAAAAATTGTTTTCAATTGCCATTCTGTTTTTAATGTTTCAATGCATCTTTCCACCGCAGGATTTATTGATATTCAAATTATTTGAATTTTTATTTTGAAAAAACTTTTTTCCCCATAGACTTCAATGCAATATTTGTTAATTAACTACTGCTTAATTAATGACATTTTTAAAAATTTCTCGCGGGCAATCCTTTTCCACTATAAAATGCTTTAATATAATATCAGTGTATTATGTACTTGACGGACATTTAAGGGTAGGGAATTAGGTTCCATTAGGGATGGAAATCCTTAAGAACTATTTATATATCTATTTTCATATCCTTCAGATAAATAAATTTGAGTAAAAAATGCACGGAAAAATGCGTATAGCATCATATCTCTTTATCTCGAACTTTCAATACGTTAAATGGCAATGACTTTATTGATGCAGTCTTAAAATGATTCTAAAGATTTTTTTCTTTGGAATAATAGAAAAAGTCGTTTAAAAATTCTTTTAACTATTCTAGTTAATTCAATATTTATTTAGTTTTTAGTATTGTTGAATATGTAGTGCAATGATATTTTGAAACGATACACAACGAGTACTACTTTTTTTTAAAATGACGGCTAAATACTGATCAATGATAATATTTAAATGCAATAACCATACAGGTTGGAATTTAGGGACTATTACAAACCTATTATGAGGTTGCAAACTTCACATTCTTTTAAATTTTGTCACATTTTCAAATAAGTATTATAAATGTACTAGTATACTAGTTATTTTGCCTCAGGATAATTCATCACAACTACATACTTAAAAATTCATAAATACCTTATCAATTACTTATCTATATATATTTGATAAAATTAATAAACAATGATATTACGAAACCTAATGCTATTGTTAATCTTATCTAGAAAGCAAATTGAAAGTTAAGAATATTGACGTTTGTTTCTATTTATAGATTTCAACTTTCCACGAATTGTTTACATTTGCGCATTCTTTATGTAGCAAATTTTCAAAAAATTGACCCGATACCCTTTAAAACAGGTAGTCGAAACTTTTAATATCATACACATATCTAAACATATAGAAGAAGGGATCATCACGAATATACTGAATTTTCATTAAAAGGACATTACATGTACACATATAATTAACGGATAAACAAAAGGTAAGGGCCAGGGGTTTGGATCTAGATATTTTTAAATTATTTATAAGACTTTTGTTTTTATGATTAACGACACGGCTTCAAAAATTCTTTATAACGATTTTACCATAAAGAGGCAGATACAATCATCATAAAAGTTTTCGACTTTTTTTTTTATACTTGAAAACTATCAAGTAACTGGTCGAATCTGAGGAAAAATAAGTTTATTGAATTAAAATATGAACATTTCCTGTTACTTGATAAGCATAACTTTGTGAAAGAAATTTGAATGTATGTCCTCATGGTGTGCTTTGTATCTGATTATGTATTTTACTGCATATAACTAAAACGGTATTGTTTTATTCACAATCAATACATCATCTTTTTTTTTTTAATATTTGTTTATATCTGCTATACGAAGAAGCAGATACAATCATCATTAAAGTTTTCGACTTTTTAAAAGTTTGAGCACTATCGAGTAACTGGTCAAGTCAGAGGAAAAATAAGTTTATCAAATTAAAATATGAACATTTCCTGTTAGTTGATAAGCATAACTATGTGAAAGAAATTGGAATTTATGTCCTCATAGTGTGCTTTAAATCTGATTATATTTTACTGCATATAACTAAAACGGTATTGTTTTATTCACAATCAATACATCATCTTTTTTTAAATATTTGTTTATATCTGTTGACTTTTATTGATTTTTACTGTACGTAACAAAGTTGAGAGAGAGAGAGAGAGAGAGAGCAACGCCGAGGTTTTTTTAACTCGCTATATATTGAATTGCCGAACTTTCCAGAAAAAAAATTTTAAAGACTTAAACGATAAAACTGTTACTTATTTTAGTAACAGGGTCTTTGACAAATATGGAAACAGACTCGGACTGGCAGAAATTCCTTCTTGCGGTAGACACCTGCTGTAAGAATGAGGATTATGTTAGAGCCAAGCAATGCGCCACACAGTTGTATGACTCTATTGCATTATTTTACCAAGAGGAAATGGATGACGAGAAAGTTTGTGATGCTTACGACAAATGTTTAGATGTCGCTTTGATGGTAAGTACGAATATACCTTTCTAATAGATATCCTAATCATACTGATACAAAAATCAAAATTGATGGAGCCTTTCATATTTATTTCAGCTAGATGACAGTAGTTTAGCACTAAAGTGTCTTTACCGAGGTATGGACTTAATTGTTACAGTATTTATGAGTCTGGATTGATAAATCCATTTTTTTTCTAAAATATTATGGACATTCGACTTTTATTCAAGATATTAAAACGCATTCACCTTACTTGCATAATACTTTTATACCTGGATATGATTTGTTTCAGAAAAACTTCACTCACTAGAGTACTTAGACCCTTCTTGGCTCTGGAATGAAATTTTGTCAAATCCAGAAATCAATTTAGCGGTATGTAACGGTTTTAATTATATTCTATCCAGCAGCAGATACATCATGCACACGGCAGGTGTGACCAGTCGGCAGGGGATAAAACTCCTATAAAATATCAAACATGGATGTTTATGGAGGTTTACTGTTTAATCTAACTCCAAGCTATATGATGAATGTTTTGGACTTTGATATTGAATACCCTTACGTTATCTCCATATCCTTCATACCTGTAAACTATGAAGTGCATAAATGAGAAATGAGGATAAAAATGGAAAATATCAAACAAGGAAATTATATAGGGACGTTTTACTTTTAAAAAACGGTCTAATCCTTAGATCTTTATATATTTTTTTATGGATTAGTGGATGTAAACATATGGATTTCCATTGATGAGGGTAATTTTGATCAAAGATGAAATTTTCTTAATGCTTCCAATATCAAACAGTTAACGAGGTTAACCAACTTGCATGTAAAAGCGACTCATAATTGCATTTGACTTTCTTTTATTTAGATGAAGTTGTACAATGTGCGAATTGTAAGGTCTATCATTGATGAGTATGAAAACAGATCGGGGCCAGCTATTCCAAAGTGCCCTGAAGAAATACAGATATTTTACCAAATATTAATGAGAACCTATTGTGAGGATAAGTTAAGTTTAGAAATTATTCTGCGGGAAGTTCTGGATTATGATTTATGCAGAGGACGAAAACTCTTGAAACAAGTAAAAATATATTTATTTTGAGTTCAATATAAGTTCTGTATAATTTCATCTAATTAATAAAATATAAAGCAAATATTTTTGTAATTTAAAAAAAAAAGAATACTGAATACTTTCATTACAAAAAATTAATAAAACGCTTTAAAACGAAAACGTTCTGAAAATTGTAAAAGATAAGTCATTTAATAATAATAATACCTATTTACAGCAAAATCCCAGGGCAGTGTGTGAAATGTGCAAAAATCGTAAGTCATGTACTGCTATAGAATCTATAAAAATAGACTAGGCCTTCTTTGCTTTACCTTAAATAGGTAAAAAAAAAAAACAACCTTTTAAAGGGGCCTTTTAGAGTTTATAGCTTGAAGATATTCTGTTTAAAAAGTTTATTAAAATACTGAATTTGTAAAAACAGTCAAAGAATCTGGCGGGATAAGGCGAGTCATCTGCCTATACTAGGGAAGGTAAAATATCAATTTTGAAAAATCTTAATAATTCCACTTTTTGTCAAATTAAGGAATTATTTACAACCATACGCATACATTAAAGAATCAAATGACTTGAAAATAATTGCAATTAACCCACCAAAATAGCAACACGCTTAAGTAACCGTAAAAATGATAGAAAACGGAATGTTAAAACTATTTTTTTTTATATAGAGTTGGTCCTCGTACCATTTTTTTGTAAACAAATATTGAAAGGGTATGGAAGGATTTATCTCTCACAATTTTCAAAAAAATGATACGAAGACCAGCTCTATAAAAAAAGCACCCAGTTATTTGTCGCGAGTGTTCGATTCATACTATAATTTTCTTTTAGTTCAGGTTTAAATTTATATAAATACAATATATTTTTTCATTAAAACAAAATAAATAAATAAATAAATGAATTTATTTACGGTCAACAAATATATTACCTATGATAAACAAGTTTTCAAGATATATAACATTTTAAATGCATTCAGTTCTAGACTACATTACAACAGCTCTACAATATCATTAAGTACAAAATCAACTATAAAAATATATATGTAACAATTGATACGCAATATGAAAAAAGCATCACATGTTAAAAGATACTGTAACGAGAACAGCAAGGTTTAAAAATCTAGATATTGTCATTTGGACAGTGCGGTACAGAGTTTAAATGTTTAGGTAAATCGCACGACTACGAAATTTCCGATATGCTTACAGAGCTACAAAATTCGTGTGGGCATATGACTCGGCTAATCCCCCCAGATTCTTATTATGCGAAGATATCCATATTATAATGATTCATTTTTCTTTGAAAGCTCGATTCTCAAGTTAGTGGAAATCTACAAATATAAATCCTTTTAGAATTTTCCTAAAGAAATCAAAATTACTGATGTAGATTACTGTTGTTCGGGACTTGGCCAGTTGAAAAAGCATTTTTTTTTTCATTTTAGTTAACAAGATTCATTCTTCCGACCCTAATTTGGCGCTAGTGATGGAGCTGTGGGCGTATGCGTTGGAACAGCTGGGAATGTTAGATGTAGCCATCAACAAGGCCGAAAACGCCATAGCCATGGCCGAACCGGTCAGCTATACTATTTTTTTCAAATATGATATTCAAGACTTCTTTATTCAGAAATAAACAAAAAAGAATAACACAAAAGTAGTGTTCATGTGTTAACGTATGGATGTTACAGAAACATGATACATCATCCTTTGAGAGATTGCTAACCAGATTGGAAACGAAGGTTGCAGAATTGAACGAAATTACACGTACAACAAGACCTGAAATATCTGCTGCCAAAAGGGTAGGACAATATTTTTAAGGCGAAACTGTTCGTTTACTTGATATTGATGGAAACAAGAATAAATTATAAACATACACATTTCAGAGTAACAAAGATATAAAGAAGAAACAAACAAAAATCGAAAACAAGCGTGAAAGAGGTTTGTTTGAATTTCACTATTAATAATGCATTATGTTTAAATCATTCCTTTAAATTTCCTTTCTAACATATTTGCTTATAAAAGATTCATATATCTAAAATCAAAGTAACCAACTAATAAGTGATAACATGAAAATTTCACTGTGATGATATATTACTGAATAAAATTACAATTTATCATACAACAGTACAAAATTTTATACAACAAACAGACGAGTTCAAGTTATATTTGTAATATATGGAAGTATTTGAAAAGTTTAATATTTTTTTTAAAAATTCGTATAACTGTAATTTTTAGGCAAAAAGAAAAAGAAACAAAAAGAAACAAACCTTGATAGATCAGAGACCACAGAAGGTGATGGAAATGAGCCAAATTGTTCTTATGATTCTGATGTTCCACCAGAAATAACCCACACCCTGTCAGACAACTCTCCCAGAAGCTGGAAAGATGTCACAGACTTTGACCTTCCTGTAACCAAGCCAAAACGAAAACGAAGGCGGAATCGTACTGGTGACTCTGGTTTGTCATCCATCGGACACCAAACAGGAACCCCAGGACTTGGTAGCGAGGTCAATTCTGACGGGTCATGCATTTTCTCTAACATGCATATTGTTGATTCTGAAGAAGGCGAGGATGAATACCAACCACTTCCTGCAAGTTCAACGGCTCGTGATTCTTATTTTATGGACCAAACACAGGACCCCCGTTCTCAATTTGATAATCTAGAAAGTGAAGAGGGTGATCTTCAGGAAGATACATTTTTCAATGAAAGCTGTGAACGTCTGCTGCAGTGTGGGGAAATGAATCTTGATGTTATGCAGGACATTGACAAAGGTATCTTGGAAGAAGGTCTGAATTTGTCAGAGCGTTTTATTGAAAGCTTTAAAAGAAACAAAGTGATATATGCCAAATACCCAGATCTGAAAACAAAAGAAGAAGCCTTGATGCTTTGCTCGAAGAGACCACAAAAATACAAACATTGCAGGATCACAATTGAAACCTCTCACAGAGCAGTGTGCACAGTATTGGACGAAAAGGACAAAATCAAAACAATAGAAATATCAGGTCGATCAAAATGTGGAAAGGTATACAATGAAGATGAAGTTGTAGTAGAAATCCTTAGTGAGTCATTTGAAGATGTAATTTCTCGCCTAAATAAAATTTCCAGTTTCGGTTTCAAAAGTGAAGGGAAAGTTTATGGGCAAGTACATGTAGTTGGAATAACAAAGAGAACACGTTTCAACAAAATTAAAAACCCAGTGTTTTTATGCACGCTTGATGCATTTGAAACACATCTGATGAAGCCTTTGTGCAAAACTGTCCCCAAAATTAGTATCCTTCGTAACAATATTGAGAATCAGTTCCAGATAGAGACATACAGATATGACGAGAATGCAAAAGATCTCAAATTTGAAGAACTAAAGTCAATAGATCCGGCTAACCGTAACGGATACTTATTTCTTGTTTGTCTCATTTCTTGGAATAAGCTGTATCCTGTCGGTGCAGTCCTCTCTGTACACAGCTTCAGTGAAAGTTCAAAGTCAAGTTTGAAAGTTCTGTGTCTCCAAAACCAAATACCAACTCATTATAAGGAAGAGACAATACAGCTTACAAATGACATCATTCAAAACCCATTCCAAGAGAACACGGATAAACTCAGAGAGGTCCTTGCAGAAGACCACCAGGCCTTTACAATTGATCCTCCGGGATCGAAGGATTTAGATGACGCACTGAGTATCAAAAACATTGGAGATAATTGTTATGAAATTGGCGTGCACATTGCTGACGTAGCAAGTGTCATACAGAAAGGTGATTCCATTGATAGAGAAGCCAGAGAAAGAACAAGAACATTTTATCCTGGTGAAGGTTATCGACCTCATCACATGTTGCCAGAGCCTCTTAGTACAAACATTTGCAGTCTTTTGCCGAACGAAAATAGGAACGCCATTTCAGTCTTCTTTGTTATGAATTCCTCTGGAGAGGTAGCTAGTGCTCCCATAGTAAAAAGAACGATCGTAAAGTCATGTCGTCAGTTTACCTACCAAGAGGTTCAAAGAATCATATCTGATCAAAATGAAGGCAATGAGACTGAATTGAATGAAAATATTCGTGTTTTGAGTGCCCTAGCCGAAAAACGTCGAGAAAAACGTCTTGGAAACAAGCGTTTTGCTTTTCCATTTGAAGGTGATTATATGAAAAATAGTGACAGCTATTACTCAGCAATCGATGCTCATAACCTTGTTGAGGAATTTATGCTTTTGACAAATCATTACATTGCTAATTATCTATGGAGTAAATATTCGAAATGCCTGCCACTCAGAGTTCAACAGCAACCGTCAGCAGAAAAAGTAAGGGAATGGATGGAGTCAAATCCTGTAATCGGGATGTTTGTGCTAGGAATTCAACATCTGCCTTTGCCAAACAACACAACTATTGATGTAGGAAAAGTTCCAAAGGGATTGAATAAAATATTTCCAATTCAGCTTTCTGTCTGGAAAAGAATGACCTCAAATGTATCTAAAGGGAATTTTGAAGAAGTAATTCGTCTTGTTGGATGCGATGAACTCCATCCGAAACAGGCGTTAGCATTTGAAGAATGGATTGCCTTTCAAGAGTCTGCAAAATACAGTTGTTCAGGAAATATAACTTCCAAGAATGATGGATGTCACTTTTCTCTTGGAATTTTCCCATACGTGCATTGTACTTCTCCTATTCGCAGGTATGCTGATATTATAGTTCAGAGACTTATTCTTGCAGCACTTGATGGGCAATCGTCTCCATACACAAAGGAAGAAGTTGAAAGATTGTGTGATGAAATCAACAATGTTACAAAGCGAGAAAAGTCATTTGAGAAACAATGCTTTGCTCTTCATTTGGGTAAAAAGCTTTCTAAAAGATCCCAGATGAGCTATTCTATGGTTCAAAATGTGTCGGAGAAAGAGGTTTCATTGCATTTTCCAGGAATGCGAAAATTACCGAAAGACTGCAAAGATATTCCTTATTCTTTGATGAAAGTTTGTGCTAAACCACTAGTGAAATCTGATGAAGAATCTAAACCACTGGCTTCGCTTTATTGGCAGCAACGATTGTATTCCTTTACAGGATATGCCCCAAACATTAGATTTCAGAAAAAAGGATCTACAGTGCGAATTGATCCTCACCAACGCGTGACATATCAACAATTTTCGAAATGGCAGAAGATCTTAAAATTAATACTGAGTGGTAAGAATTCCCAGCTTAAGGATGCTTTTTTCGGTACGGATTATCAAGATGTGAACATGAGTCAGTCTGTTCCTGCTTGCTTCAACACAGAGTCTGATGTCAGCTCTGAGGTTCGAGATGGCAACATTATACAACAATGCTGCGAATTCAGCATGAGTTTTAACCATGGGCAAATCTTGGCTGTGCAACTTACAGCAGAACCGAAAAAAGGCGTCATGGTTCCTACTGTTCAAATGGTAGAATTAACAAACAATGTAAAGTTATGCCTTCAGCACATTGAAGATCCGGTGAAGTATTTTGCACGTTATTCCACACAGAGAGTTCCACAACAAATGAAATCCCCTGTTGAATACGTAAAAATATGGTTGAGTATTTTCCGCATGGAATCTGCTGTGAAAATGACCCAGGGGACTCCTGTGGTTATAAATGATTTGCCTGTCGAATTTTCTGGTCGTTCAGATTGCAGTGATTGTAACTTTACATTAGAAAATTCCTTCTGTGTGAAAAGAGATCTAGAATTTGGATGTTTATCTGAGAAAATTATCAGTTTTGGTGAAGAGAATACCGAAGAAGAAAAAGAGTCGAAGTACCTCTTGAGTTCTGACTGCGTTTGTATGAGGTGTGAGTTGGTGAATAATGTTCCTTCCCGAGCTACGAAAGAAACAAACCCTGACGATAGACAGATCTGGATAGGACATGGAGAAATAAACATTTTGCAGAAAAGCAAGAAAAAAGGCAAAACAAAAATCCATATTCGATTACACAAGGACAGTCCCAAACCAACAGCAGAAATGTGTTCTAATCCTCCACCACGGTGTGGTGTTGAACTTCTTCAGAAAGCTGATGTAGATAAGTAAGATATCTTAAGTAAAATATTCATTTACAATTTTAGTATATTTATATTGTTCCTTGTTCTTTATTTGTTTGGTTTTTATGATTATTATGTTTTTTTGTATTTTTGTTACAGACGAGTGGAAGCGACTTTAAGTTGTCTTGACAAAGCAACAGAATTGGCAAAAGCAATAGCATTGACAAAGAAGATCCCCAAACTCGGTAGCTGATTGCTTATTTATAGTCAATGTATTTATATGAATTCATTAGGAAAACTTGATCCATTTTTGAAAGTAGATGTATTTCATATCATTATACTTTTCAGATAAAGACCATTTGGATTTGTCCAGAAAAATAGAAACGGATGTGACAATATGTGGTCTAGCCCAAAACAACACACAGCAGTTGAAGGCGATACAGCGTGCGCTTAGTTCTCGTTTCAGTCTGATTCAAGGCCCTCCAGGTTTGTGGCTATTGACGTACTGTGTCTTTCAATTTGTCAATATCATGAATCAGGATAAATGATGCAGTAAATTTAAATAGAAAAATACAACATACATGTATATTTTTTTGCAGGCACAGGAAAAACATATACTGGTATAAAGCTGATATACTTGTTCGTGAAAATCAATTATATTCTTAAACAGGAAGGAAGAGGACACAAACAAGTTGTCTTCTGTGGTCCATCAAACAAATCTGTGGATTTAGTTGCCCGTAAGAATTTAAGTGTTTTTTGTGTTCTGAAATTTTCTTTTAATAAAAGTACAGATTAAACTGAACAATTCACAATGCATATATTCAGCATAAGAAAATAAACAACACAGTTTCTCCAAATGGAATAGTAAATAGATACTAGGTCACAAATGGATATTGGTCCGAAACAGTAAAACTAGTGAGATTGTGAGCACTAAGCTCACTAAATGATACCTCCTGTCTCCCATACCATTAAAAAATGGCACAGTCCGTGTTTTGTTCTGAGAGACACGAATTAGAAACAAGAGGTGCACAATGGCATTATGTAATACAGAATCTGTGAAAATGTCATTAAATTTTATTCAGTGGTATAGGAGGAGTTGTGGATAAAAGATGGGTACCCTTAATATTATAGAAAGGCAGGCTGTGTGCTATGGGAAACCCGAAATATGTGTCCGATCAAAACGTAAAAAAGGATCTACACAATGGCACTATGTAACAAGATTCTCTGAAAGTCTCAATGAAATTCATTCAGTGTTATAAGAGGAGGTTTGGATAACAGATTGGTATCCCCAAAGCGTAACAGACGGACGGACGTATACAGACAGGCGGATGGACATACAGACGGACGGACGGACGGACATGCCGATCACTATTAAGTATATTCCTTCCAACTTTTCAAGCGAGGGGGGTATAATGAGGAAAGACAAAACGAAAGAAAGTTTTTGAAACTTGGATGACTTTCCCTAGGGACACAAAACGTGTAAGTAGAGTTTAAATTTCAACCGAATACATGTAACATACTGTATACAGGGAAATTTTCGCCCCCGTTTTATTTTCGCCCCTTTCGCCCTCTCCTTGATTGGGGGAATTTAAAACGGGGTAGAATTCAAATTACACCTCATATTTTCTTAAACAGAACTATGACTGGGCGAATTTAAAACGAGGCAAAATTGTTCAGAAGTTCAAAAGGGCGAAAATAACCCTGTATACAGTATATTAATACTACCAGTATTGCAATTTTTTTTTCAAGGATGGATGCTGAAAAAGTTGGGTGAACAGTCTCCCAAAATTGTGCGCATGTATGGCAGTTCACTAGAAAACATTGTTTTTCCATTGCCTGGAAGAGATTACACAAGTAAAACTTCGTGCAGAGATAACAGACCAGATCCGCAACTAGAAGATGTATCCCTACACCATCTCATTCGAATGCAAGGAAAACCAAGTGCTGAAGAATTAAGAAACTATGACAACATGTTCAGAAATAATCCAAGCTTTTCTGATCATGGCGAAATACAGAATTATAAAAAGCTGTTAAGCAAAGCTTGTCAGGAGGAGTTGAAACACTATGACGTCATTTTTTGTACCACTGCTGTTGCAACAAATGCAAGATTTTTGAAGGCAACACATGGGAATGTTTATCAGATGATCATAGATGAAGCCGGCATGTGCACCGAACCGGAAACCCTTGCACCAATCATTGCCACTAAAGCGGAACAGGTTGTTCTGATTGGTGACCATAAGCAGCTTCAGCCAGTCGTTCTTTGCTCAGAAGCAGCCTCGCTTGGATTGGAGAAGTCATTATTTGAGAGATATGCAGATCGTGCCGTGTTCCTCAATTGTCAATATAGAATGGTAGGTGATTCAAATAATACATGCATGTACACGGTAGTATCCAAAGCAGAAGAGATGGCTTTTTGAATAGAATATTAACTTTTTTTTCCTGTTTACATTGCAATCAATTTTGATATCATTGTAAGCAGACTAAAATTTAATGTTTTTCAGCACCCAAGAATATGCGATTTTCCTTCAAACAAGTTTTACAAAGGAAATTTGGAAACGATGCCTTCCGTTGCATGGAAAGTGGATGAACCCTTATCACTTTGGCGTGTACCAAACGTTCCACAAATGTTTTGCCATGTTGAGGGTGAGGAGGAGAGCTTGAGTGTTACAACCGAGGAAGGGAATCAGCAATCAAAAAGTAACAAGGCAGAGGTCAAAGAAGTGGTAAGAACTACTGCCACCTCACTGGTCATCCTCAAACATTTTTTTTTATTTAAAAAGGGGTTGACAAAATTAGACTCATGGTGTCCAATTTACTTTCTGTCATACATTACGTACTCCAGACTTCAACAGGGGAAAAATTTAAAGTTCATTTTTAGTTCAAAGCATGATATTAACTTAAGGTTATGTCTTAACCCCGAATTTAGGTCATCTAGTCACGATCAATATCACAAGTATTTTTCTATATAATGATAATACTGTGAAAATTATCTAATCCGACACCTGTGAAATCCGACACACTGTGAATTCTGACGTTATATTTCATTCCCATTTTACTCTTTTCCATGAATCTTGTACACTTTCATTCCGCAACCTTGTCTATTCCAACATAAAAGTCATCTCCCAGTGCATGTCGGATTAGACAGCTTTCACTGTTGTTGTATCTCATACTTGATTCAATTTGATTGGTCTTGTCTAAAGAATGCGTCAGTATTTGAGCTCAGGTAACTTGGATAAGGTCAAAGGATTCCGAAATGAAGAGTTTGGTCTAAAATATCACAATGATATATTAAGTATATTACCACCGTTTCACGTTTCTCCAGCACAATTGAGGATATGTCATGATCGTAAACTTATTACAGTTAGTGAAGTTCTAGGTTGTACATGTATATGGAATTGCTTAAAAGCTGTTTTTTTTTCTCTTTTTGTGTATTATTGTTCATAGTTTATGATTGTTTTAAAATATGTAAAATAAATTAATTATTTACTAGATGTTGAAATGTTAATACTTTATTCTTTGTAGGTTCGAATCTTTAGTGAGCTGGTTCACCGGGAGAAAGTAAAGCAAAAACAAATCAACATTGTTTCTCAGTACAACGCCCAGTGCTTTGCCATCAAAGAGGCACTGAAGAAAGAGAACATCATTAATTTCAACGTAAACACAGTTGTGGCTAGTCAAGGTATTCAAAGATTTGTCAGGAGTGTTTTAGTTGTGCTGCAAATGTCTATTTTAGTAGATCTTACCAGAAATGTAGTCTGTAGGTTGTTCTTGTTCTCTTTGCTCGAACTTTGTTTAATGATTCTGTTTTGGTTAACAAACTTGCAATTATTGAATGTTTTCTCACTGCAGCAGACTTGGAGATGTCTTAATGAAGTTATATTTTAGTTCATTATATTTACGGTAAAATGTATAAGCTTAATGTAATTTTGTAGGTGGTGAGTGGGATTACGTGATATTCAGTACCGTTAGATCCCTCCCAGACTACAGAATAGAACCAAACCCTACTTTGGGCTGGTGTAAGCAGAATCTGGGCTTTATTACTGATCAACATCAGATCAATGTGGCTCTTACTCGAGCAAGGAAAGGATTCATTATCATAGGTAACAAGAGAACAACATCAATTCGAATAACTTCAATGAATTCTTATTTTTTATGGGAGAGATCTTGTCATTGCAATATCAAACATTACTTTTTTTTATTTACTTGATGGAATCAAATTTTCAGTAAGAAGGTTTTTAATCAGAATGCATTTAAAGAAGAAGGTTATCGAATGAAGGTGTTGAGGTTTCTTTTGAGTAGGTGGCAGATAATATCAGTTTATTATTTTTAAAAACTTACATGTTATTTCCGTTTTTCTCTTTACAGGAAACAAGAATCTTATGAAATGCGACAATGTTTGGCGCGACTTACTAATACACTATGGTAGACAGGGCTGTGTGGTGGACGCGGAATCCGTCAAGTCCAGACGCCAAAAGAAAAGAAGGAAAGTCAGAGAAGCCACACAGGAGGAATTTAATGCTTAGAATTGTTTTGAAAGAAATGCTCTCCTGTCGTCTTTGTTATATATGTTCATATCATTTGAAATTACATTGTAAATTTTTTTTCGTAGATTTGTTGTAAAAATAGTTTTTTTGTTTAGAGAAATAAAATTTGTTTTGTTTGTTTTGTACGAATGAAACTTGAATATTGTATTTTTAATTCTTTATCATGATAGTGCAATTTTTATTGTTTATGAGCTAAAGGCCACACTGTATTGATAATTCATATGATTTGTTTTCCTATTTTTCTCACATTTTGATCTTTACGCCATGTGATAACCATTGAGATTACATCAGTTTTCTTTTTATGTCCTCTTTTTATTTACAGTATGCAACTATTATATTTCTGTTCTCCATTTTTCTCCATTTTTACCTGCTTGTTTTTTTTTTACTTCATGATATATGAGTTTGCAATCAATGTCTAAACCCTGGATCTTTCAAAGTTTTGTTTCTCTATGTGCCACTTATTCTTTGCTTATTGTTTTATTAAATAAATTATTTTAAAAAACACCAGAAACTTTGATTGTTTTTTTATGACAAAATCAAGTAATTAAATAAAAAAGCAAGATTTAAAAAAGAAACGTCTTAAACGAGGATATGAAACATTAGATGTGTTAGTAAAATACCTGTAATTACTGCACAGTATTGCAAAAATAATCTGAATTTCCATGTAACAATTAGACTGGAAAAAGTCATTGAAGGCTCATAAAAACATACAAACCTCGGGTGTGATTGGTGGAGAAATATGCATCACAATCAGGACAATCTCTTCCGGAAACTACTATCATATTTCAAGTAAACTGTAAAAAGTTTTTCAACATGTCTAATTCTTCCTTGTATATAGATTTCTGATTACAACCACATTACTTTACAATTTTACGTTTGAATCCCATAATCAAAGAATTACACGAGGAACTATATCTTCTGGCGGAAGGTTGTCTGAATTGATTGACTGTATGTTCTTAACGTCCCAATCGAAATTTTTTCCAACCATATAGAGACGTATACCAGCGAAGGGTCATGACAGGGGGCCTCAGTTTTCAAAGTCTCATTCGAAAGAACGAGAACCTTTACATTAAAGTACCGATCGCTTACTAAAGGAACAGTTCCTACCTATTTTCATCAACTTTATTTTCTTCTTTGATCATATTTTATCTGTCGTCCGTTGGAATGTAAACTTTCTACAATTTCGACTTCTTTTCAAAATTTAAAAAGCCAATTTCAGCCAAACTTGTCACAAAGCTTCCCATTGTAAAGCGCCAGTCCGTCTGTCAAATGGAGATTATAACACCCCCTCCCTCTTAGATTTGTGTATGGTTTTCCCCTTACGGACGCTCTAAACACTGCACACTAAAAAGCTCTTTTTATAGAGTAGTTTTATGCAGTTAGAGTGATCTGCTCTTATATGTAAGATTAAAGAAATTGTTATTTACAGTTAATTACATGATTTGTAATGGATTAAAATATTTTTAGAGTTATATAAGACCAAGAGTAAGTAATTTAATAAATTATTTTCATTACTTTTCCCAATGTAAATAAACAGCAGTCATTTCTGCTCACAAATAGTCTATTGTCTTTGAACATTTTTCCTGGCACGTACCCTATGTTATAAATTAAAGAAAAAGTCTTATCTTTACATGATATATTTTTCTCTGAGTCCAATAAAAAATCAGTTTCTATTAGTGTTTAGAGCTTTCTTAAGTGGGGGACAAAGTTTTTTACACATGAGTTGATCCATTTGTAAACTGCAGATCATATTTCATCGTTATATTTCCATACTTTTTATTAAAAAGGCACAGTTTTTCGAACTTGATGCATACTTTATATGACCATCGATCTCGTTCGGCATAATAATATTGATTTTATTGTTTAAAAAGATCGAATATTTTTAAGTATGACGCATAAGAAAAAACATTCATTGTTAACATACACGGGTATTTTTTTTTTTTTGGCAGTCAACCAATTTATTCGTGCATATTTCAGAGAATTTAAAAACGAAAATAAAACATGATGACACAATTGAGTTGTGCTTTTTAAAAAATGATATTTTTACGTCACAAACAGTTAAACATCTACTGTGAATATGTACGCTTGAAAAAAAGACATGCTGAAAGAAAAAACATGACAACGGTAAAAAAAAAGATACAATTTGTAATTTCAATAGTTATCTGACTTTTAAAATGTACATTTCCTTCTTTTATCTATTCGTTTGTGTCGTATTACTCATTTTCTTTATGTTTTGCTGAATTTTGTCTCTCGTTTGAAGATATTTTGTGAACCGAATACTTTTTCTTATTCGTTTACAATCCTTTAACGTTAGATTTTACAAGGTTCACTCCCCGGCTTCTCAGTAGATTTTTGTCTTGACCTCCATTTGAAAAAATTTACATAATGTTTTAGTTCTCAAAATGAATTTGGATTATATAATGTTAGTTAAGCTATGTTCAATGCCGATACGTAGGATAGCTAAGGAAAGTTAACGATTGTAAAGTTGATGTCATCACTTTTCTTGAAGCTTTGTTGTAAGGTTACCATTAACGTCATTTTTTGTTAAATATCCAAAAATGAAACAAACTCTGTCAAACTCTGGGGTATCTTCTTTTATCAAGCCCATATGGATACATCGATTTGCCATATAAATTGAAAGCAACTTTTGTTAATTGATGCGTTTTGATATAAAACTAAGATTTATTTAATAACTCGAATATGTTTATGCCTAAGAAATAGAACTTCAAAATAAATTAATTTATCTTTTTTCATTGAACGAAGATCGATATATTCAAAAATACTAATGAGAGAAAATAACTTTTGAAATAGTTTCAATAAAATGATATCATTTTGCTTGATAATTGTTTGTGATTTAATCAAAATAATTTCATTCATATTTGTGCATTATTCAATTTAGGGACTGGCTTTTTAAAATTGTTCCTGTATCAGTAGATATGAAGTAAACACATTCCTACAGAACAATACTTATTAGTAAGATAACATTAACTTGGTTAACGCCCAAATAATATCACTGCAAAACATTCTATCTAATTTGATCTTTACAATTACCTTCTTAACAATAAAACAGTGAATGCTTATTATCGTTTACGATATCAATGGAAAAAAGACCACCAAAATTCGGATACAACTATTTCGATGCTTTATATCCTGTTGAGCTTTTGAAAAGTGTGAGTGATAATCTATTCTACTACGATTATTGCCGAGATCAAAGAAAAGTTGCGGACATTACTTCTTAAACAATCAAACTGTATGATAAACGTGATGACTATCTTTTCAATCGTCAACTTTTCTTACTTCTTCATCACCTTCATACGGAGTTTATATCTCTCACTTGATTCGATACGCAAGAACATGCTCTACGAATGCAACTTCTAAAACGTGTTAAATTATTTACAAACAAGTTGAAACAAGAATATCAGCAGTCTAGTTTAAAGTCACCATTTCGTAAGTTCTATGGTCGATATTATGACATTGTCAGCAAATTCAATTTATTATTGAGTCAAATGCTGACTGACGTTTTTCATACTAATTGTTAGTCCAATATTTAAACACTGAATTGACGACGGATTTTTCCGGTATTTCCCGATCTTGACAAGGAGCACACGGCAGGTGTGACTGGTCGCCAGGAGATGCTCACTCCTCCATGGAACCTGATCAAACCTCTGATGTTTTGGGGTTCGTGTTTGCTCTGTTCCTATTTTGTATTGTGTATGGATTTTTAACCTTGAATACTGTTCTTCATGTGTTTCATTGTAATTTGTTTCAATAATCTTTTAACAAAGTAGGTAAATTCGTGTGAAAAAAGCGAATGTACTAATTCTTATTTAAGAGTCATTAGAGATATGTGGCTCTTTAAAAAAATAATCTTTCGATTAAGAATAAATTTCATTACTCTGTAATTTTTTAGATAAAGATATATATGAAAACATCAGTTAATTTTTGAATTAAGAATTGTTTCTTGCAAACAAAGTCATTTTACGACATTATACAATTGCAAGTGAAGGGGAATATACAAATGTAAAAATATATAGTTTTAAAACAACAAAACTGAAAATCGTATCGCTATAAACGTAAATTCGTCATGAGTGGTTTCACTGCAATGGAGTTTTTCCCTTTTCCCTAGTTGATTCAAAACGATTTTATTCATTGGTGATCATACAATATGTTTTCCTATCATAGTTTGTCACCCATTTAACTTTGGAGGATAAGTGTTTTATATTGGAGAGCATATTAACATCTCCAATAAGGAAATACATATGATATATTGCACGAGTTAGTTTACACGGTGAGAATACATGAAAGTGTCTATTTTGAGACATTCTATGTGTGTATGAACATAGCCAGCACGGTCAGAAGAGGGATAATTTGACATAAAAAAGTTAGCATGCCCTTTTGCAGATAAATTGTGCCATGATCTACAAAAATTACTTAACGTTGTCAATTCCAATATCTCCAGGATTCTTGTGTATAGAATCAGAATGATTCTTAACAAATTCATTTTGATATTTACTGGTTATCATTTAATAAAAGGACCTAAGCTCAATTTGTATAGAAAAGGCAGTTTTTTAAACTGTCTTGAAAAATGTTTTAACAAAGTGTCCAAAATTGTCGCAATTTGTCATATTGGTTCCGTGATCATACAATTAGATATGCAACGATTTTTTTTAATCATCGAGCTTTATGAATGATAGATATGTCATAAAATATTAACCATGCTCTCAGTTCTCAGAGTTTAATTTTTACGTAATATAGATGCTGGTCTTTTTTAATTAAAAACCAAAACTTGTACTTGGATCGTTGGATTTTTCGACAGTGTTATTTTACATATTGTTTATATCATGCAAAAATATAAGCGCCTCAAATTGATTGATTGACCGTATGTTGTTTAACGTCCCTCTCGAAAATTTTTCACTTACGAGGGTTGATCCAAATGTTCGTGGAATTTCTTCATAATTTATTCATTTTTAAGTGGAATTGGTTTAATTACAAATGAAAATATAGACACTTGATGAATATTTTAAATTAAAAAAACATTTTAAATATCTTTGATAGTAACTCTATGGCAGCTGCCATAGAAACGGTTGTTTGGAAATGCGGGGGAGACATTAATTCTTTTTTAATTCTTAATACGTAAAATGAGAATTGAACCGCCCTATGTGGTATATATAACGAAAATTATGTCAATATTACGATTGATTGATCTTTTATAAACCTTTGTGTGAGAGTTTTACTGATTTTACTAAACATTTAGTTTATTAGTTGATGATTTATTGTTCATCTTTCAGTTCTTAGACAACGTTAAATTTCGGTCAAGTCATGCGTTTTGTAAAAATCTCAGGATCACTCTTCCTTAAACGCGTAAATTATTGACATAGGCTTTGGAAAATGCATTTAGGTAGTGGTTTTCCAGTGGCATAAGAAATTTAAGAAGAATAGAACTTCCATGGATCGACGTTGATTAAAGGTGCGGTCGCTTTTTGGAGGCTCTGTTTAAGTGCGTATAACCCTATACAAATTAAAAGCGTTAATAAACGTTGTCGGCTGCCGTGCTGTTCTTGACATTGCTATTGAAACTGGAACATCATATGGAAAGATGGGTAGTATTTTAAAATACGAGTGAAAAATGAAGATGAATTGGTGCAAGAGGATACCCAGGCTTTTCTTGAAAAAAAAATGGAGAAAAGGGCAGGATTTTATAGAGCTACTTATTCAAATTGGACATATTGACGTGACATAAATATAACTTGACGTAACGTCGAAGTCTCCCCTGGGTTTCACAACTATCAGTTTTCAGAAAGCTCGTGTGACCTTATGGGTAATTGGAAAGTGGTAAAATTTTCCAATATATTTGCATTATGACTCTATATTATGAATGTGCCTGTTGTTTGCTTTCATAAAATCACTATATAATTTTAGAGAGAAATTCCACGAACTTTTGGATCAACCCTCGTATATGGAGACGCCACCATTTGCCGATCGACAGTTGCAAATTTTGTCCAATGCTGAGCACTTAGGGCCATAGAGCCTGGAGGAATCTTTTTCGTGCTAGCACCTACTGCGACACGGGACCTCTGTTCGAAGGACCGGTCTCCATGTACACTGTACTATGTACAGTGGGATTCGAACCCTCGACGTAAGGATTGACTTCTTACTTATTGACTCTTAAAGCAGACGCTCCTCTAAGCACTGCTCGACGCGGCTGTAACTCGAAATGTTAAGGGCTAGAGGTATTGTAAAACATTAAAATGTGTTTGCAAATATTTAGAGACATTAACCAATTAAAATTTTTGTTTCCGTTCCAGAAAGACCAATTAATTTGAAAGAGACTACTTAATTTTAAAATCATGGAAACAGACGAGAACTGGCTAAGCTTTTTCCAGGCAGCTCTGGTATGTATTGAGAAACACGATAATGCAAAGGCTTTAGAATTTACCCGACAACTGTACGAGTCTGGTGAGATTTACCACAACGGAGTGGAGAATGAAGACACTGCGAATGAAATATACAACCACTGTTTGCATCTCTTAAATACAGGACAGGTACTTCAATGATATTTCTATTGTATGCTTAGAATCATGATTGGTCATATTATATGTTAGTATGTTTGTAAATTAATTTGAAAAAAATGTCATATACAAATGATATAATAAATCTTGTAAGTATGGGAAAAATATCTTAATTGGGTATTAACGAGAATGAGTATATCAGAAGAATAATACCAAAATAAATTTCTTAATTCATTTCAATTTGGACAGGTTTTTGATCCATTTCTAGAGACAAAGTGCTTTTACAGAGGTAAGAAAAAAAACATTTTAAATACATGCATGTTGTGATCTTCAGAAACCAAAATGCATTTACTCATAATTCAATATACCATTTGTGTACTGTCATACTTAGATTCTGACTGTTTTTACAGTTTTGTATAAATCCATACTGTCGCAAATTAAGCATCTTTTAGATCATAATTATTTAATTTACGCTTAAAAAGAGGCTTTACATATGACTGAATGGATTTATACAAAAAATGTAGAAACAGTCAAAATCTAAGTATGACAGTACCTATATCTAGACGATGAAAACAGATCTATCAACAACAAAACCCATTCAATTAAGTTGTACTTGCATATAAATGTCATGGTTTAAAATCTAACCGCGGATATAGTGTCTCAGGGAGTCTCACTGTCCACTTAAGTTAAAGCTTTGCAACACATAATTTTACGCTTTTAATACGCAGTTATGACATAAATTATAAAAGAAAAACACCTTTGATTACTTTTTTTAAAACTCTACTTCATTTTTCAGTGAAGCTGCTTTCTTCCGAGAATTTGGATCCAACTTCTGTCTGGTTAAGCGTCTTGAATGATCCAAGTATTTCTATAGCAGTATGTATGATTTTTATACCCCCCGCTTGAAAAGCGGGACGGTATATAGTAATCGTTAATTCCGTCCGTCTGTACGTCATTGTCCGTCCGTCCGTCTGTTACGTTTTGGATACCCATCTCTTATCCGCAACTCCTCTCATACCACTGAATGAAATTTGATGAAACTTTCTCAAAATCTTTATTACATATTGCCATTGTGTACCTCTTATTTTACTTTTTGATCTGACATATATTTTGGATTTTCCAGAGCAAAACATGGACACTGCCAATATATTCATATGGGAGGTGGGGGGTATCATTTAGTGAGCTCATTGCTCACAGTACCTCTAGTTTTAACTGATACTAATTAATGCATTTACAGTATCTGCGAGTACATGCAGTTATACATTGATATTTTTAAAAAGTAGAAATACTGTATAGAAAACTCCAAATTTTATATTCACACACCGTAATTATTGGTGATTCAAACACAGAAGTTGATGGAATGGCTGAAGTATAGGAATTGTACGTCGTATAAGTTTCTACGAGTTAGGTCAAAAGTAAGATTAAGTAAGACCATAGGCAACTGTTACATTTACAAGTCGATTTCTTCTTTTTACCCTTTCCACAAGGTACCATAATCGATTTCAATATCCCTCATTTTAATGTCGAAAGTTAACCGGGTTTTGTTTATTAAGAGGAAGGGGGGATTGGTAATAAACCTATGAATACATATATATATATATATATATATATATATATATATATACAAGAATATTTGATTTTCAGATATCCGGTAGTAGTTGTCTAAGCTTTAGACTATATTTCTTTGTTTTTGATTTGGCCACATACAATATATATATTTATCTTAATGATGTTTTTCATGTTTACTTACAAAGAGAAAACTCAAGTTGCTTAGAGAAATACAAGAAGTCATAGATGAGTACTCCGTGGCAGAACATCCGATAGTATGGCACTGTATGCTCGAGATAAGAACTTCATATAACCATATGCTGGACCTGAATGCCGGAAATCACAGCACCACTGAAATTATACGAAGAGAATTGCTTAAAGTATTTGTCTTTAGTGGCAAGAAATTTCTTCAAGAGGTAAAGTGGTTCAAGGTATTAAAATAGTTAACAAATTAAACAAACCATTTGAAAAAAAGTTGAGCAATTTCACCCAAGTTATTAACTATATAAGTTCTGTATTTATATATATTATAATCTTTGAATAGACAAAAATCTAAAGAAAATTAAGTCCATGCTGTGTTTAGAACTTTACAATCTCCATTTTTTTTTTAAATTGGCATTGGATTTTATTTTATCTTACTTCTTTTGTTCTTGCCTAAATTTATGTAAAAATTTAGCAGATATACATAGAAATTGTTAAATTTCTGGTCCTTTTTACTGGTTTGAATAATTTCAAAATTTCAAAGTTCAAATTTTTTTGACACAGGGTTTGGACGAAGTAGTTTGCAGAATGTGCATGAACTGTAAGTAAGATCAAGAGTGAAATAAACCGCGTGAAAAGGATTAGCTAGGTTAGATAAAATGTATAGCCAAAGTGCCTATCTTTTCAAACAAAAAAAAAAGGCCTGGAGATAAGTTAAACAAAATTGTATCTTATTTTCTAGAACAGGTTGACTTATATGAATGTGATTTCTCAAAAGAATTTTAAAAAACTCTAGAAAAACTAGAGGTACTGTGAGCAATGAGCTCACTAAATGAACTGTCCCAAGTAATGTGTTGCTTGATATTGTTTTAGTTGTGTAAATTAACCTGTCCTATGAAATGTTATCCAGAAGCTTCTATATACGCTAGTAAACAAAAAATGACAATGTCCATGTTTTGCTTAAGAAACCTAAAATACGCGTCGAATAAAAAAGTAAAATATCACAATGTTGTAATTTGTGAAAGTTTCATTTAATTTCAAAAAAAAGTTGCGGATAGAGAAAACATAAAGTGTGTACAGACGTGCTACTAATGGACGGACGAATTTATATACCCTCCCGCTTTTCAAGCGGGGGGTATAAAAAGTGTTGTAGGACTGCGACTCTACTAATCAGAAAATAGATTCTAAAAAAGCCGAATGCAGGAAAAATAATTTGCTTTAGAATATGGTGTACACATTTTTTCTTTTTTTATGAATTCATTGTCATTCAAAAAGGAAATAAATTTAAGATTTTTTTTCTTTTTCAGTACGGAGAGATTTCCAACAATATCCCGAATTTAAATCACTTTTAATTCTCTGGGCCCATGCACTGGAAAAAGTTGGGAAAATAGATTTAGCCATTCAAAGAGCACAGGAGGCAAATGACGAGGTATTTTTAAAAAATCAAGCTAAATGCTTAATGCATAATTTCATATATTTAAAAAGAAGTGCAAGAATGTAAAAAAAAATTTGTCATATATTCATAAAGAAATTGGTGACAAGATTACATCAACAAAAATCCCCAGAAAGTGAAAGCGAAGTAGATGAAGAGTGGATAAAAGATACACATGGCTTTACCATGGTAGGATTAAATTTGAGCTTTTACAAGTATAAAGTGCTGTTTAATATATATATATATATTAATATATATATATATATATATATATATATATATATATATATATATATATATATATTTGCCAAAAAATTTATAATATAAATTTTTCACGTTTTTATAATGAAAAAATCTAACAAAAAAATCTAAACAACTTGACAAAAATTTTAAAGTGTTAAAAATTGATTTTGGAAATGACAAACTGCTTTGAGAAATTTCGGAAAAAATAAGTTGTGAAAAAAAATTATTATTATTATTATTATTATATATATATATATATATATATATATATATATATATATATATATATATATATATATATATATATATATATATATATATATATTTATACCTTAAGTCTTTTCTGGAACCAGTATCAAGTTATTACGTTTTACATTGATTTTTTTGAAAATGGGGGGGGGGGGATTTAAAAACCTCTTTTTAAAATTTTTGACTTTCTCAAAACAACTGGATAAAATTTTCTACAAAACTTGCTCAAAAGGGATTAAAATGTTTAAAATTTATATCTGAAATAAAAAAGAAAAAGTTAAGAAAAATTAAAATAATCAAAATTAGTGATTCCACTACAATTCAAATCCAAACGTATCTATGCCTAAAATTGTTTTACAAATAACTATAACATTTAGATTTATTAAAACCAAAATCCTCAAAAATGAAAAACAGGAAATCAACATCATATCGTATTTCAAAACTCATAAAAATGACATGAGCCTTATTGGTATTTTTCAGATTTATTACTCTTTGGTTCAAACTTGAAATGTGTTAGGGTTCTTGGGATCAAGACAAGGTAGACATATGAATCAACAAAAACTTGTGAAGTGACACACACATGATCCTAAAACTAATGGGTCTCTTTTTTCATTACATTCTAGTCTCAAGAACAAAGAAAACCAGCAAACGAAACATTAAAGAAGAAAAAATCAAGAAGCAGACGTAAGACATCTCTATGAAAATCATATTGACATATCATATTAATTTTTCATCAAATCTCCTCTAGATAAACTAGATAAAAATTTTTGCAGCAAAACGAAGAGATAACCTAAACCAACTAAACCAAGGCAGTGGGACGTTTGACCCATGGGACGAGAAATACAAGGCTGGAGATGTCCATAATGCAATTGCAGAAGTTAATAGTCCTATTAAAAGCTGGAAAGACGTAACAGAATTCGATTTACCTGTTGGAAGACCTCGAAGGAGAAGACACAGAAGACAAAAAATATCGGATGAAGGGAATTCTCTACAACATCATCAACCTCCGAAAGCGCAAGCCAAATCACACTCGAAATTAAAAAGGCCAAATGCAAGAGAAATCAGTGCTCCGGGACTAATTTCTGAAGATGAATTCGACCCAATACCCCATGAAAAGTTAGAGGAAATTGGCACTGACTTTGAATCCAGTGATGAGGAAAGTGAATCACAAGATGAAGAATCGCTGCAAGATAATTTTTTTGAAGAATCGCGCAAATTTTACGACTCTCTAAACCGAAACAAAAACATCGATGAAAACCTTTTAAAAAATGGTCTTGATCTTTCAGAAGGTTGTGTAAATAACTTTATGCGTGTCAAAACTAGAAAATTTTACGATGAAATGCACAGCAAAGAGGAATCTCTTGATCTTTGCAAAAAGTTTCCTAGCAAATACAAACACTGTAAATTGGAAATTTTAACACCACACAGAGCACTTTGTATTTCCTTGGATGAGGATCTTGAGATAGAAATTTCAGGACGATCTAAATGCGGAAAAGCCTTTAATCAAGACCAGGTTGTTGTTGAAATTTTGAAAAATTCTAGAAATTTACCGATCAGATCAGTGCAACCTACTAAGAGTTCTGAAATTGATTGCAATAAAATATTTGGAAAAGTCATCGGAATAACGAATCGGAATGAAGCATTGCCTACAAACCCTGTCTTTGTGTGTACCCTTGATCATTATCAAACATACCATATGAAGCCGCTTTGCAAAACAGTTCCCAAAATACATATTCTGAGTTCAAAGCGAGAAAGAGAATCTCAAGTTGAGATCTATAAGTATAACAAAAGAGGAAAGGATCTGATATTTGATGGACTTAAATCAATCGATCAATCAAAACGAAAAGGATATATTTTCCTTGTGTGTTTCATTGCTTGGAATGAATTGTATCCCCTCGGGGCTGTCATCAGAATGTATGATGGGAAATGTGACATAAAAACCTCACTCAGGCTGCTTTGTCTGAGAAATAATGTATCTGTACTCTATGAAAAGAAAACAGTTAAGGAAGTAGAAAAAATAAGAGAGGAAATGCCAGATCAGAAAAAAACAGAAAAACGGACAGATTTTTCAGATAGTTTGTCTGTTTTTACAATTGATGGAAACAACTCAGAAGACTTAGATGATGCACTTAGTATAAGAAGAATATCAGACACAGAATTTGAAATCGGTGTTCATATTGCTGATGTTGGCAGTGTCATAAAGAAGAATGACCCTATTGATCGAGAGGCACAAGAGAGGTCAAATTCTTTCTATCCGGGAAAAAACAAACCACCATATCATATGCTTCCAGAGCCTTTGGCAACAGACATCTGTAGTCTTCTTCCTGGAGAGAAACGAAAAACGATTTCAATTTTTTACAAAGTCGATGAAAATGGAAATGTCTCGGAAAAAAAGATTGACCGCACTTTTATTCAATCCAGACGACGTTTTACGTATCAAAAAGTTCAAACACTATTGTCAGAAACAACTGAAAACAATGAGTTTACACAGGATCTTCAAAATTTGCATTGCATAACCAAGAACATTCGTTTAAAACGCTTGAAACATAAAATATTCTCCTTTCCATTTGAATCATCATTCGAAGACAGCGATGACTCTTATTTCAAGAATCTTGATGCTCATATAATAGTAGAAGAATGTATGATTCTTGTTAATCAAACTATAGGCCAGACATTAATTGAAACATTTCCAGACTGTGTTCCTCTCAGAGTACAAAGCGAACCCCCATCTTCCAAAATTAATGAATGGTTAGAGAATTACCCTGACATTGCAGATTTCGTCTTATCGCTTCAAAATCAACAACTTTCGACAAATAGAACTTTATCTTTCGAAAATATTCCTGAAGATAATTTATTGCAGCAACTACCATTACAAAAACATATATGGGACGCAATTGTGTCAAGTTATAAAGAGAAAAAAATTAAGAATATGGAGAGATTAATTGGCACCGACGAGTTTCATCCACTTCAAGCAATGGCGTATGAATCATGGATGTCATTTCAAGAGACTTCAAGTTATCGATGTTCGGGGTCATCTCAAGAGAAAAGACATTTTTCTTTGGGAATTACAACGTACGTTCATTTTACGTCACCCATTCGACGTTATGCAGATTTGATTGCAAATCGTCTCGTGCATGCTCTGCTTGACCAGAATGAATCACCCTACTCTCAGAGAGAGGTTGAAACGCTGTGCAAAAAAATCAATGGAAGCCAAACCAGAAAATTTCAGAGGCAGTGTCGTTTACTTCACCTTGGAAGACAATTTAAAAAACAACCAGTTATGTTACATAGCTTGGTCGTATCTGCATCAGAAAAATCTCTTTTAGTTTGTTTTCCTGGTCAAAGAGAATTAACAAAATCATGTGGTGAAGTTCAATATCATTTACTAAAGCTAAAATCAAAACCCGATTTAGAGGAAAATAAAAAGCACATATTGACTCTATCATGGCAGCAGCGTTTATATTCAGCACTTGGTTTTTCGTCAAATGCATCAAATTCTAAAAGAGGACCAGTAAAGATCAATCCACATCAAAGAGTATTTTTTCCGACTCTTTGGAAATGGAAACAGTTGTTACAATGTCTTATTAGCGACAATATGAATTTGCTGGATGAGAATTTTTTCTTTGAAAAGGAAGTATTGCCAAGTGCTATTGAGTGTCAAGGTACTCATTCAGATGCAAGTTCTGAGACATTAGATGGCATAATCGGAAAACAGTATACTGATTTCAGTTTGACTTTCAGCACTGCCCAAATCATTCCTATTCAAATGGGAGCTGAGCAAAATGAGGGAATGCTAACGCCAGTGATTCATCTCTTTGAAAACACAAAAAATGTGAAGTGCTGCCTACAGCATATGTCTGATCCCGTTCAATGTTTCTCTTCATATGCCACTAGACATGCAGGCAACAGAAGGATGGTATCATCTGAATATATTCAAAGATGGCGCAACATTTTTCGAATGGAGTCTGTTACCAATGCTACAAAATCCATACCAATAATCATAAACGATTTACGCGTTGACTTTCATGGATCCACTGAAACCTACGATGGTTCGTTCATACTTTTAAAATCATTTTGTCTGCAGAGGGATATAGACTTCAGATGGCACTTAGAAAAAGATACTGAGAAGTGTGTCTCATACCAAACAGATTTTATTTGCATTCGCTGTGAGTTAATAAATGGAAAACCTTTGCAGGCAAGAATAGCAAGTTCACCAAATGAACGAAGGATATGGGTTGGTCATGGAGAGACAAAGACTTTTCAAAGAGGTAAAACAAGCGGAGACGTTAAAGTACACTTTAAATTGCACAAAGACAGTCCTAAACCAGAACCTTCGATGAGGGATGCAAGCAGTCCATCGTGCACGATTGAAATACTTCAAATGTCTGACTCAGACAAGTAAGTTATTAATACAAAAATGAGTTAACCTTTAAATGAATAAGTAATCAACGGATGAATCAAAAATATATTCTCTATTTTTAGGAATATTGAGGATGCCTTTAAAGGTTTAGAAAATGCTGAACAACTTGCAAAGTCAATAGCTTTAAGAGAAAGAATTCAATCTTTAGGTAAGTGATTTGCCAAAAAATACTGCTATCATATAGTTCTTGTTTAGCACCAGAAAATAACAAAATCACGTGATATTTTACAGACGACATCCACGTGAGATTGGCAAAACAAACAAAGTCCGACGTGATGCACGCATCATTGCAACCGAACAATGAAAAGCAGTTAGAGGCTATAAAGAAGGCTCTGTCATCTCGATTTACTCTCATACAGGGTCCACCTGGTTAGTTATATACCAACCATTCTTTATTTGTTTTTTAAAGAAATGTGTTCAGCTTTCAATATAGTACAACTTCTGAATTTTTAGCTGTAAGCATGAACTGGATATTTTAAAAGCGTAAGATTTTAGTCTAACAATGCTTCATTGAGGCGCCTTATAAAGTTAATAAGTTTATTGTTTACAATTGTAATAGGCACAGGGAAGACCTTGACTGGAATTAAGCTCATCATGCTTTTTAAAGACATCAATCTAAAGATTCGAGAAAACGGTGGTGATCATAAACAAGTTGTTTACTGTGGACCTTCAAACAAGTCTGTTGATCTTGTAGCACGTATGTATTTAAAGTCATGGATATACCGTATAACAGGTATTTTCTGCGGTTGGAAATTTTTGCAATTTAACCCCTAAAAGGTAGCAAATTAATTTCTGCGTTTTCAATTTCTGCGGTTGCACTTTACTGCAAAAAATTATTTACGGGGTGTATAGGATCATCAAACTCTAAGATTTATTTGAACACTGCAATTACTACGTTTTTCAATTCATTCAGGCGCATGAATGCAACGTGCATGAGAACAGGCATTGTGCTATTAAACTACTAGCTTTTAGTCACTCTTTGTAAAATTAACTAATACTGTCAGACGTCTGATTTGAATGAAATTTACAAGACAATCAAACCGTGTTGTATACACAAGCAGTAATCACGGTCTCAAGACAAAACACAAAATTGAAAAGTGGAAAATAAGAAAGAAAAAAAAGCTGTCATATTTTGTTTGCAGCTATCCAAAATAAGGAGTTTCGATGTCACCCTTTCAAAATTGTGAATTTTCTCTGCAAACAAATTCAATTGTTGACCATGCGTGAGTCTGCAGACACACCACTTATCATACTTGCATGTATAAAATACCATAAGTCATATAAAAAATATTTTGCAATTGTAATTTTTGCGGATTTGTCCTATCCGCAAAATTCCGCAAAAAATTGGACAACCGCAGAAAATACCCGTTATACGGTAATATGATCATTTCTATCTCCATCAGAATTTTCAATCAAATTTAACTTGCTCAAAATACTTTTTATGCACTAAAAGTGCTTTTTTTCCTTCCGATGTAGGATGGATAAGATTGCATTTAAGAGATATCTCTCCGAAAATGGTAAGAATGTATGGAAGTTCCATGGAAAGTACTGTATACCCCATTCCCGGTAGAGATTACATTAATCAAACATCATGCAAAGACAATCGACCGGATTCTGATCTCGCAGAAGTATCACTACATAACTTGATTAGAGAAAAAGAAAAACCTTTCGCTGACAGACTAAGAGCTTTTGATAAAATGTTCAGGGAAAATCCAGATGGTACCTGTATTGACCCGGAAAAGGTTATTGAATATAAAAAATTACTCTCAGAGGCGACGGAGGAGGAGCTTAAACATTATGACGTTATTTTTTGCACAACTGCCGTAGCAACAAATCCAAAATTTCTGAAAGCTACAAAAAATAAAATATTCCAGCTCATAATTGATGAGGCAGGGATGTGCACTGAGCCAGAAACCATGGCTCCAATTATTGCTGCAAAACCAGAACAGGTAGTTCTCATTGGTGACCATAAACAACTCCAACCAATCATTATTTGTGAAGAAGCGGCTAAATTGGGTCTTTCAACATCCCTTTTTGAGCGATATGCTGACAATGCTGTGTTTTTAGACATCCAATATAGAATGGTAGGAGTTTTTTTGTGAACATTTGTGTTATTTATACATGCATACGTTCAATGTGAAAAAGCAATAAAAGCTAATAAATGTTTGTATTTCATTTGTTAGAATGAAAAGATTTGCGAATTTCCATCAAAACAGTTTTATAAGGGAAAACTCAAAACTGGACCTTCTAAAAAATATGAAGTTAAGGAACCTTTACAAATATGGATAAATCCTTATACCCCTCTTTTGTTTTGTCACGTGGAAGGAGAAGAAGAATGCCTAGCAGTGTCCACAGAAGAAGGAAATCAGCAATCAAGGAGCAACAAGGCAGAAGTAGAACATGTGGTACGTTCTTCAATTTTAACGATCCTCCAACCGCCCCTATATTCCATTTAAAATTATTTCCATCTTTCCGTCTAATTACAATACACCTGAAATTAAAAAAAAATCTTAATGCTTTTTCAACATAAGAAGAAAATGATTCATTTTGTCTTGCTTTTATAGGTTAAAGTTTATAATTATCTGATGTCTCATGACGGAATAGAAACGCATAACATTAAAGTTATGTCGCAGTACAATGCACAGTGTTTTGCGATACGAGAGGCTCTAAAAGAGAGAAGATTCATCAATTATAAAGTTAATACGGTTGTATCCAGTCAAGGTACGTACGTTTTTATATTTTGAGACAAAGAGTAAAGTTCATTATGCCACACCTTCAATTCTTCTTCCTTTCCATTCCTAGGTGGTGAGTGGGACTACGTGATCTTCAGCACTGTCAGATCACTACCAGATTACAGGATTGAATCATATCCTACACTAGGCTGGTGCAAGAATAACTTAGGTTTTATTACAGATCAACACCAAATTAATGTTGCCCTCACCCGAGCCAGAAAAGGCATTATTATCATAGGTATAATTCATTGTTCTCTAGAAATCATAACCCTATGTTTTAGCGTCTCTATTGATATAAAATTTTTAAACCATAATTGACTGGTATAATTTCTTTCATTAATGTATCTGACAAGAAAATACCGTTATTTATTTCATTAAAAAATATAAAATGGTTAATATAAAAAATCACATGAAAAAGCTTGCTGCTTGAATAATTATCATTTTTTAATACTCTTTATATAATTCCTGGCTATTCTAGGAAATAAGAAACTGCTTCAATGTGAACTTGTTTGGAGAGAACTGATAAGGCACTACAACCAATTGGGCTGCGTTGTGGATGCTGAGAAACAAAATCTCACTCCACTGAAGCGAAAGAGAAGAAATTGAAATTATTTTATAAGACAAGCTGATCGAAAAATATTTTGAGCAAATGAAAAGACGAAAGGAAATCTATATTAACCGAAATACAGCTGGGGACACGGATTGTGTCGAAAATAACAGGGAACTGGATTGGATGAAAAACATAGAGTAAAATAAAGTGAAATAGGAATAAAAATGAATGTAGAAATTCACAAGGAAACAAATAGCACACGTGTATGATTATACTGTGACTTTTTCTTCAGCATTCACATCATTGCAACATCAATTGATTCCTTTATCATCTAACTTTGCCATAAGATCCATTGAAAGTTAATTTTTCAAGGATTTTCAGCGTCTTGATTGAAAAGACCATATCATTTCAATTAATTTGTTAAATGGATTTAAGGCATATTTTTTTCTGTCTATGGTTCCAATTTCCCAGATTTTAAGATTTTGACACAACCATATATCAATTAAGCAAACGTATTTTTTTCATATTTTGTACCATCATTTTGCTTTATTTAAATGTCAATATTAATATTTACATAACTTGCAAGTGGGGGCCTGCAAAGTTTACGTGTATCCGGCTCTTATGGCTTTTGAACCATCACCTACTGCAACTAGGGACATCTGATTAAATGATATCATCAGGAGGGACACTTCCCGCCGTGAGATTCGAACCCGCGACGTTAGGATCAACTCTTTATATCTATAGACTCTGAAGCATACGCTTTAACCACATTGCAGGGTTCATTTTTATGCGCCCGTATCGATAGATGCGAGGCGTATATTGTTTTTGTCCTGTCTGTTTATCTGTTTATCTGTTTGTCTGTCTGTTGTCAATTTTAACCTTCGTCATAACTTTTGAACCATGAGAGATAGAGACTTCTTATTTGGTATGCGTAGTGAACTAATGACGCTCTTTTAAATGACACCATGGTCAATGACTTTGTGACCTTGACTGTGACCTATACGCTAAAAATAGCTTTTCCGAACTTTCGCCATAACTTTTGAAGCAAAAGAAATAGAAAATTTATATTTGGTATGCATACTCCACTAATTAAGTTCTTTCAAATGACACCAAGGTCAATGACCTTGTTACCTTGACTGTAACCTATCTGCTAGAAATGTTTTTTTGGAACTTCGTTGTCGTCGGGCGCATAGTGTTTCACAAACGCATCTTGTTTTAAAAATCAAATAATATTTTGTGCTATTTTAAATGGTTTTAACAAGCTTATTCATTAATAATATTTTGCTTTTATTGCATACATCTTATGAAAATTGAAATCATATATTGACTTTATATATTAATTATGATCTTAATGCCTTTCTAAATTACAAACGTTTTTAGTTTTAGTTTTACCTTGTATACTTCACATTATTGTAAGGACTTTTTCTAAGCTTATGTATTATTTCAATAATTTTTATACAACCATGTTACAAATTTCATACTGACATATAATTTCATACTGACGAAAACTATCGAAATGGCATGAGAAATTCCATACAAATTTCATACTGACGTAAAAATGTTCATGTCTGTTTAAACATTCTGATGAATGTTTTTATTAATATATTTTTTATATTGTGATAATGATACATGTAAATGCTGCATATAAGTATTAAATTTCCACAATTTTCTATTCACTGGGTATTATTGTCTATTTTTAATTAATACAATTCAGACATCTGCTTATAAACAATAACTAGTCCAAAAAATTCATAGGTATGGATAACGGAAAGAGAAAAAATAAATATAAACACAAGAAAAAACTAAATTTAATATAATTTTAGACTTTGGATACATACATATATGGATAAAGAACTTCAAACAATACCACATTATGGATCTTTATAAAATTTTCACTTTTTAATCTATTCCCCTTTATGAAAAAAAGGATTGAACTTAAGCATTTTAGGTCACCTGGCACAGTTTATTATAAGCCAGTTTCACACTCCTTGAACTAGGTTCTATAATCAACCACTGAGTAGGCCAACCAATCTGACTTTCTGTTTGTTTGTTGTTGTTGTTTTTTAAATAAAAACATATTTTCTCAACGTTTTCTGCAAGGTTGTCAAAATGATTGATTCAAGTTAGAGTAATCATACAATTTTTACTTTGACTGCTGCTCCATGGGTATAGGAAACTTACATAACTTTCCTGTTTTGAAAGTCTTAAAAAGTATCATTTGACTGAGTTTTCTCGTTCCCAAGAAACATAGTCGATTTCTTCATTAATCTTTTCTCGTGGATTTTGCTGGTGTTAATCTGTAAGTATGGGTTTTTTTTCTAAACAAGTATGAATAATACCGGTATACTATTATTGACTGGATATGAGGACAATACATGATTTGTTGGACCTGAAGGTGAAAATGCTGCCTAAGGTGGCCAAGGACACAAGGATAACATTTTCAACTTCAGGTCCACTCAGCAATTTCGTTCCTGATTTCCAGTCTATAACTGCTTTGTAATACCCTTCACTTCAGATAGTACACTTAAATGAATTCATCTGAACAGATTTAATAAATTTCGAGAAAAAAAGTGACAGATGAATTTTAAACGCACATTTATTGTATTTTTACGTTAATTTAACAGGGTTGTTATTTTTATAAAATCGTGTCAAAACAATGTACATTTTGATGTTCCTAGAGTATTGAAAATGCGTATAGTTCCCTCTGTATATTCTAACGCGTGGTGGCAAGGTTCCGTGTGTGATAGAGAGATTTGAATGTCATGGATTTCTGATGGATTTTATAAAGAAAATTACACTCAATGTAAATATATATTTATGTAACATTAAAGTTAGTTTTTCTTTTATAATATATATAATATATATAATATATATAATATATATAATATATAATATATATAATATATATAATATATAATATTTTATGAAATTAATTTATATTATGCGTATTTCAGATAATCGAAAATGAAACAAAACAAATGAACCTTGGTGTTCAGATGTCAGAATGTGATAGGTTGCAATGTTATCAGAGCGAGATGTTTATCCTGGACGCCTCAAGAGACTAAAAGTACGATTTTAAAAATATGTCAAGATAATTTTACTGTTTTTAATTATAATAAAACCTTTCCTTATGGAATTTTCTAAGAAGTAAAGAAGTAACTCCTACCCCCGAAGAATAAGGACAATTTGTAATAAAACTTCCCTAAATAAATGTTTATTGTATGTGTTCTATTGTATGCAGAAAATATTGTGACAAGATATAAGATTTTTCGTCTATTCTGTACAAATCAATTTCTCATTCTAATAAAATATATTGTAATAAATTATCATGCCATTTCCATAATTTTCCCCTATCTTTGATTTGCTCCCGACTTCCATGCATTATAATAAAAGTCAATGAATATAATCGGAAAGATTTCTGTGCATAGAAATATTTTTCTGTAACACCTTTTCAAGTATTTTTTAAAAATAGTTTTTGCACAAGAAAAACTTGAAATACTTAACATAACATTAAAAATCACTTCCACCGTGAGCATTTGAAGTGTTTACCGATACCTTATATTCTTAAAACCCTCTGCTCACCTATATGAAATGGTTTTTCTCACTCCTATGATTTTCCAAAAGAAATGTATGTGCTAGGTAAAATACAATCAATTGTAGGGGAGTTTGCGGGACAAAATTGGACAAAAAGCACTTCAACTTAACAAATTCCTAAAGGAATGAAAGACACGTGTGTCATTAAGAGTTATCTGTCTTATCACAGTATCAATTTATCTTTTAAATATAAGCTGGGTTTTTTTCAATTTGATTGAGGCATTTCAATGAGGAAGGCAAGCCCAAATATAAAACAATGAAATCTGCTAGAGGTCCCAAGGCATTATAGACAAACTCGCTGTATATGGCATGCAATGTGTATTATAGATCTTTGGCGTTTATTTTAATTTAGGTCCATCTAGGACATAGCAATAGCATCCGTACTTCTAAGATCAGGTAATCTTTTTTCTCAGGTAACAGTGCGCTAAAAAATAGTTCTTTAAAGATTTTTTTTAATCATTTTTGAATATTCAGTAGTGTTCCGTCTAGGTACCAGGTAATTATTTAGGTAGACGGACCGGATCGATCGAAGCTTTTTAAAATGTCCGCACTGGTTAGTTCCGTGCTTTGTGTCTGTGAGTCTTTCAACTCAAGGTGGTTCACTGGTTGATGCGGTATGTAAGTCATTTCACTATTAATGTTACTAAAACATCTGAGCCACTTTTAAATCAGGCCTTGCGTTTACGTAATACGAAGAAAATAGTAATATTTTTCTATGGTAACACATATAATTGACGCAAAACATTGATTTTATCTGCACTCTGAGAGAGTTGAAAGCAGGTTATTCTGAACATCGCCCTCTGGTTTTTAGCAAAGTGACTGGGAAACTAGCTCTTTTTAAGGAATTAAACAATCTGCGTTATAAGCAAATTTTCCATAGCAACACGAGTGTGTATTTACACATAAATAATTTGAATTTTCCTTGAAGTGAAAAGCAAACACAACAAATGCACTTGTAAATAACAGGTTTTTATTTTGCTATGCTCAACATGCGCTAGATTTTACTATAAAGGTCAAGTTAAGATTTTTTTTAAGATAAAGTTAATTATAAATCCACAATTGTCTACCAGTCGCATATGTTTTAAATACCCCATTCTGTTTTACTGAAAATCGCATGGCGTGACTGCTGCACTACTAAACGTTACGTGGGAGATCGATACTTTTGTAATTACAATATTTGCAAATGCAAATGGTTAGCAGAAAAACAGTTCTTAAATGCCCAGAGTGTTTTGTTTACGATTACGGTAAGTTGATATTGATATTCAATATATTGTTCCTTGAAAATTATTGGCTTTCGCAAGATGAGAAATGTCACATATTACCCTATTTATTAGAGAATGAGTGGACCTAACGCCCTACTTTGAAACTATACCAAGCCACAGGGAAGGGAACGGAATTCAAATTATTTTTACAAGCAAAGTAATTGAAAGAGCTATATTTGATAGAAATGAGTGAAATACTGGTCAACATTCATATTGGTTGCTTTGGCATTATTTATACACTGAATGATCCAAAGATTTTTCCGGGTCATGCCAAGGGACACACGACGGGAGAGACAAGATGGCAGAGGCTGCTTGTTCTTAAAAAAAATTAGCCAAGGTAGATGAAATTTATATTATTCTGCCTAAGGTTTGCTACATTTTTTCTGAGAATCGTTGAGGCGGGTAAGTATAGATAACGATGTATATTAGAGTTTTTAAGGGTAAACCCTGTTTACGAAATATCTATACTTATTTGTATTACCCTCCCCCTGTTTCTTTGGGTCCCACTTCCCTATATGTATGTTCTCACAAAACTGTAGTGGAAGTTCTTGTGTATGTCAAAAATTTTTATTTACTGCCATCAGGTACGTTCAAAATTAACAACATGACACAGCCCTGGGGAAGTGCAAAACGTTAACACAGTTTAACTCAAATATATATATATATATGGATAAAAGGGGATCACTCAAGAAACCATAGGAAAAAAAAACAAAAATTTGCATTCATTTTGGTTTCGAAAATAACGAATGACTTAAGCATAAAAATGTTTGAAAACAATATCATACGATGTTCACACTTTCCATTACCGTATAACGGGTTTCTTTTTCGGGTGTTAATGGTACATTTATATCCTAGCCCATATATATGCCAATAATTTTGTCGAAAAATTTTTGAGGACGATTGGTTCCAGTTGACCAATAGCTTTATATGGTATTGCTTCAGGGACTTTAGATACATGTATGTAACTACATGTACATGATTATATCCCAGCTAGAAAAGTCTTCTTAAGTTTTTAGGTGTGAATAGCATTTTACTCCAGAGATCAAAGAGGTGTATGTAGTGTAAATAAAAGACTGGTCAAAGTTATTTTGTTTTTGTTCGAGATGCAAAACAAGAGATTGTAATTTTACCAGCTTTCTACCAAATATAAACCACCACAGGATATTATTATCATACAATTTTAATATCTGCAAAAAGGAGAAAAATTTTCTAAAATAGAATTACTTCTTAAATTTGTGTTTGTAGTAAACAATTTTAGCTGATATAATATACGGTATTTTTTTATAAAGAGGGAAACGTGCCCATATTATAAAAAATGTATACAGAAGCTGAAAAAATACCCCGATTTGAATTACAAACGTTTTCTTGTATGTTTTATCAGTAATTTTAATTTTTGAGAAAAAAATACAATCATACAATGAGATTTCAATTTCTATTTTATGTAATAGCAAAATTCGGAAAGGCATATGCATATTATATAAATTTTCTTCGATCTATGTTTACGGAATTATTTCCTTAAGGTTTCTACCATTACAGCTATGGGGTTTTTTTTGGAGTCAGGATGTAATTATCAATATTTTTCCTTAACAAAAAGTAAGCACTGGAAATATTAAACACAAATTAATTCGATTTGCTATTAGTTATACCAACAATAAATTTTGAAAGAACATTGTTAATGAATAAAATCATCATGTTTTTACACAGTTAAATGTATCTTTCTTTTTTTCCAAAGAGATATATTAATAAATGATATTTACATATTTTAAGCAAAAATTGAAATTTATTTTACAGAGAAGAATACCCAAATTATTCTCTCGAGACAATTTTCAACAAAGTAAGATAGGTTTCCAAAATCTGCAGAAATGTCAGAAGAGTCAGATCCAGCATCTGAGTCATTCAGCGATGACGATTTATTGGAGGAATATGATGAGGAAGTCGATTATGACCAGGAAACTACCAATTATTTCTACAACAAATCACTGAAACACTACAGAAATGAGTTCTTGGACGATAGCGGTTTCAGCGAAACCCTGTTTAGTGCTGGGCTTGACTTGTCAGATGGTTTTGTGAACGATTGTTTCAGTACAAAAGTAGAAATGTATGACAAAATGCTTGACATCAGTGAGAGTTTTGAGCGCTGTGCAAAGTATCCAGAGACCTACAAGCATTGTAAAATTGAAATATTTAATGCTCACAGAGCGGTCTGTACCACAATGGACGGCGAAATGGAAATAGAAATATCAGGAAGATCAAAATGTGGCAAAGCCTTTAATGAAGACGAGGTCGTAGTGGAAATTCTACATAACGATGAGCATAGAAATAAGATATATGGGAAAGTTGTTTGCATAACAAAAAGAAACGAATCAATTCCAGAATACCCTGTATTTGTTTGCACTATGGACGACCGCTTCATGATACCCGTATGTAAAACTGTGCCTAAAATTTATCCATTAAAGGAGGTATTTGAGGGACCAAGAAAACCAGGCGTTAACGTATACAAGTTGAATGAAATAACAAAAAAACTTATAATAGATGAAGTAAAGTTCATAGATCAATCAAAACGAAAAGAATACACCTTTCTCGTTTGTTTCATAAAGTGGGAAGGTGTTTATCCCATAGGTGCAATAATAAAGGTTTATGACCCAAAACATAATGTAGAAACATCTCTAAACCTTATTTGCCTGGAAAACAAAGTATCTGTCCTCTACAAAGAAAAAACGATAGAGAAAGTGGGTGAACTAGAAAGAGAGTCAGATATCAGATTAGAGGAAAAGAGAGAGGATTTGACAAACCTTCATGTGTTTACTATCGATGATAAAAAATCCAAAGACTTAGATGATGCATTGAGCATAAAGGAGATTGCAGATTCCCATTTTGAAGTTGGTATCCATATTGCAGACGTTGGAAGCATAGTTAAAAGGGATGATGACATTGATTTAGAGGCACAAGAAAGATCAACCACATTTAACCCAGGAGGAAACCATCGTGCGTATCATATGTTACCAGAACCTATTGCAACAGGATTATGTAGTCTTCTTCCATTTCATAAAAGGAAAACTTTGTCAGTCTTCTTCATCATAGACGGGTCCGGAAATATTATAGACAAGAGAACAGAAGTCAAACGAACATATGTAAAGTCAAGGCGCTCCTTTACGTATCAAGAAGTTCAGAAGTTATTGACGGAAAATGAGAGCAGCGATGATGCTTTTAAGAACACATTGATTATGTTACATGACATTTCGAAGAAAATACGCTATAAACGCTTGGGGTTAAAGATTTTTTCTATTCCATTTGAACAACAATTCACCGAATCATATTATGAATACAATAAATCACTTGATGCACGTATTATGGTAGAAGAATACATGATACATGCGAATAGTTTCATAGCAAAATTCCTTCACGAATCGTTTCCAGATTGTATTCCTCTTCGTACTCAAAGCGAACCATCTCCTTGGAAAATGGAAGAATGGGAAGAAAATAATCCTGTTTTTGCCAATTTTGTTCTTTCGTTACAAAATCAAAACCTTCCGCCAAATCAGCTTTCAATAGACAATATTCATGAATATACCATTTCACATCAAATACCAGTGCAAAAGTATATCTGGAAGAAAATGAATTTGGAATTCAGCTTTGGAAGGTACAAGAATGTACAAAGACTAATTGGCACTGATGAATTTCATCCAAAACAAGCCATGGCTTATGAATCATGGATATCTTTCCAAAAGACAGCAGTTTATAACTGTTCTGGATCATGTCGTCATGATGGTAACCATTTTTCTTTAGGAATTAATCCGTACGTTCATTTCACATCTCCTATACGCCGTTATGCAGATTTAATGGTGGGTCGACTTGTCCATGCAAAGATTGACAAAAAACCCTCGCCCTACTCACAAAACGAAATTGATATGTTATGTAGGAAAATCAACATGTGCCGTAATTTAGAATTTAAAAGACAATGTCAATTATTACATTTAGGAAGGCAACTTCAAGAAAAACCTCGTTTGTTTCATGCATTGGCCATTTCAGCCACTGAAAAATCTCTTGTTGTATGTTTCCCAGGATTGCGAGCTTTATCAAAAACATGCAATGAAATTGAATTTTGTTTGCTGAAAGTAAGTTCAAAACCATTCTTTGGAGAAAATGGTCAAAGAGATCATCTTCTAACTTTATCTTGGTTACAACGATTATATTCTTGGAGGGAATATTTATCTTCCACGCCTGTTTCGAATGGTGGTTCTGTAAACTTAAATCCACATCGCAAAGTAAATTTTGTTTCCATTGGGAGATGGAAGATGTTCATAAACGCAATGATAAATGACAGTATACACACACTGGGGGAGAATTTTGATGATGGAGAGGTTCTACCCATTGTCCCTGAGTGTCTTGAGACACATCTTGATGCTATTTCTGAAAAACATAATGATACCATAGTTCAACAGTACACAGAATTTAGTTTATCATTCGACCGTGGTCAAGTTATTCCTCTTCAACTTGGAGCTGAACAGAAAGGAGGGATTGTGGTGCCAACTATTCATCTTTTAGAAATTTCAAAGAATGTGAAATGCTGCATTCAACACATGTCTGATCCAATTGAGTGTTTCGCAGCTTATGCCACTAGACATGCAGGCAACAGACCGATGACACCAGATGAATACGTTAAAGTTTGGTCGGAAATTTTTCGAATGGAATCCATAACCAATGCATCAAACTCTTTATCAGTAGTCATCAATCATTTACCTATACGATTTTGCAGTTCTAAGATTGGATATGGCTTTTTCGTATTAAACAAAACGTTTTGCCTGCAGCGAGATTTGAATTTCCAATGGGAAAAAACAGAGAGCGATGGAAAATTTGTTCCTTTTGAAAGGAACTTTCTATGCATTCGGTGCGAGACGCAGAATGGGTGTCCTTTGGAAGATAGTTTCAATTCTCCTCCGAACAGGAGATGGATATGGGTTGGCCATGGGGAGACAAAATTTATTCAAAAGGACATAATCAATGACGAAGTTACAGTACAATTTCAGTTGCATGAGAAAAGCAGAAAACCAACACTCCCAATGATCAATGCCACAACCTGTATTTGTACAATAGAAATTCTTCAGATGTCAGTTTCAGATAGGTAACTTTGTAATGATAGGTGAAAATGTAAAAAGAAGTAAATTATGTAAATTTGACAATGTACATGTATATTCAAAATCTTCCTACCTTTTCTTTGGCAGACGCATTGAACTAAATTTGAACAAGCTTGATAAGGCAACAAATCTGGCGAAGTCAATAGCTTTGAGAGAAGAGATGCCTAAACTTGGTAATTATCATTGATCCGCTCCTATAATTCTTTGTACATTACAAAAAAAATAGTACATGGTAAATCTACTTTCTTGGGTTACCTCCAAGTTACAATTAAATAAATCACATGCACTTCAAAATTGTCGAGTTTGTAGGATTACCTACTTAATACTCGAAAATTGAAGCCCTACTGAATACTGTATATAAAAAGTCACTTCAACGAAAAATGGTAATGTGGAATAATTATCCTGGTTGAACTGAAACTTAAATGCAAAAATTGCCAACATTGCATTGCATTTTGCAGTTATTGTCTATCAAAAGAAGCAATCTAATTTTTGCAACTGCATTTTTGTCGATTTCATTCTAATTGCAATACGATTTAACGTTTAATTTATGCAATTTATTTTCTTAATTCGAATCAATAATTCAATAAAGCATACATTTAAATAAATTTATTATTATAAACTTTAGTAGATTTTTTACAGATGATCGACACCTAAACTTAGGAAAACTTCAAGATCCCAACAGATTCGAAGAAGTTTTGCAGCCAAACAATAATAAACAGTCAGAGGCGATTAAAAAAGCTCTGTCTTCACGATTTACACTGATACAAGGCCCTCCAGGTCAATATCCTCGAATGACATAAGTTTAAAATAGTTTTATTGCTTTTCTTGAGAAAAAATAAGATATGATTTAGTTATGTTTGAGATTTAGAAGTAAGTTCATAGAAATCACGAACCCAATCAGAAATTACCCAAGAATCCTGAAAGGCAAAAACAAAGTTTGCAAAATCAACTTTTGATGAACTAAAATGATTTATATATAATTACAGGCACAGGAAAAACTTCGACTGGCATAAAGCTTTTATTATTATTTGTGAACATAAATTTGGAGTATCGGAAAAACAGCGGTGACCACAAACAAGTTATATACTGTGGGCCATCCAACAAGTCCGTTGATTTAGTAGCACGTATGTATTATCAATGTATTTGCTTATTTTCTAATTCTGATAATTAAACTGTTCATATTTCGCCCCTAAACATATAAATTCTAATTTAACTTTTTAGTTTATTTTTCTGCTAAGTTGTTTAAAATCGGTGTTCTGAATTAGGACAGCTACATCTGAAGTTGAAAACACTGTGTCCAAATATAGTTAGAATGTACGGAAGTTCTATTGAAAACACGGTATTTCCTATACCTGGTAGAGAGTATATCAATAAGACATCTAAAACAGACAACAGACCCGACCCGGACTTAGCGGATGTTTCACTCCATAACGTGATAAGAAAAGACGGTAAACCATATGCAAGGGAACTAAAGCAGCTAGATAAGCTCTTTCAAATAAATCCAGAAGGAGTTGATCCTGAAAAAATTATTAAGTATATGAAGATACTCAGCAAGGCTACGCAAGAAGAGCTCAAACATTATGACGTCATTTTTTGCACAACTTCCGTTGCAACAAATCCGAAATTACTTAAAGCAACACAAGGAAAAGTCTTTCAATTGATAATTGACGAAGCGGGAATGTGCACTGAACCAGAAACAATCGCTCCAATTATTGCAACGAAAGCAGAACAAGTAGTCCTTATTGGAGATCACAAACAACTTCAACCAATCATCATTTGTCCCGAGGCTTGTAGATTAGGGCTTTCCAAATCTTTATTTCAACGGCATTCTGACAATGCAGTGGAATTAAAGTCCCAGTACCGCATGGTATGTTTGGAAGATTTTGAAATTTAATATATAGAGGCAACCTTCTTATCTTATTAATATTTATAAGCACAAGTCTATCTTTTTTTTTTACTCTTACTCTTTTGAAAGCTCTCTTTTTTATTTCTATTTCAGAACCCGAAAATTTGCGAATTCCCATCAAAACAATTTTACAAAGACAAGCTTAATACGGAAAGTTCCAAAACATGGCACACTGAGAAACCCCTTACATTATGGAGGAAATGGAATATACCTCTACTGTTTTGTCATGTAGAGGGAGAAGAAAAATGTTTGTCGGTGGCCACCGAAGAAGGAAATGAACAGTCACGTAGCAATTTGGCGGAAGTAGAACTTGTGGTAAAATTCTTTTATCAAGGCAAAATTTCATAGTGCTTGTTTTAGTTGCCAGACTTTGTCCCTTGATTTGCAAACAAAGTTATTTTAGAATAAACAAAGGTACTAAATATCTCTTTCCCGTTGTAGATTAAAGTCTATACTTACCTGGTAAACAATGAAAAGTTGGCACCACCAACAGTTAGAATTTTGACGCAATACAATGCACAGCGCCATGCGATAAACGAAGCACTTAAGATGGAAGGTTTTGACAATGCTGAAGCAAATACTGTGGTATCCAGTCAAGGTATGCACATTGCTAAGGCTATAGTCTGCATCTTTAAGATATTAAATTATGTAAAAGGCAGCGGGCGGTTTCGGTTTATGCCATAGGGATGGCAGTTTGTAACCGATTCTCGGTCGGAACGTTGGCAGTGGGTTGGAAAATCTGTAATCGGTTTTATAAAAAACTCTTAAAATACCTTTTTTAAAGGAAAAATAAACCACTGCGTAAACGTTGAATGATGATATTTCACATATCTTCTCTGGTTTTGGGTATTAATAAATTAACTAAGTACATAGTTATTTTAACGTTGAGCATAACTGCCTCTTCCACAACAGTGGATTTCATGGTCCCTGGGTCAGTGGTTCTGGTGTTTAATGGTGGCGTTCTATTGATTTATAACATATATTATATAAACTAGAGCAAGGCTCGTTGCAAAGCAACGACTAGGTCTTCCGTCCTGCTTGACCGGAACTAACTTTAATTTAAAAAATAGAATATAGACGTCTCTAATGATAATGATTTAAATCTTCCAAATTATGTTGATAATTGCAAAAGTAAGCCATTTTTGCTATTTCTTGTTCGACCGGAAGTGACGTCAACGGACAGAACATTCAGTTTTATGCTTCCAATGACAAATATTTCCCAAAAAAGTGTCAAGAACTGCAAAAATATGCATTTTCTGACTACTTCCGGTATGGTCGGAAGTGATGTCAAAGGACATATTTTGATGATCTAAAAAGATTTTACTAGAGATTTTGAATAACTTTGCTTCTTTGATGTATAACAAATTATCAATATTTCTTGAGGTAAAACTTTTGGCCCCTATAAATCCCTTAATTTAGTGATCGGTCCTTTTTCCGAGATATCAGTTGAAAGATCTTGTAATTCAGCACAAATTTTGTTCTATATATTTTAACAAAATATTGTTAATTTAGAAGATAAAAAGCAAAATAATTTTTACCCCTATAAAGCGCCACTTTGAATAGAGAAATTGAAAAACAAAAACCGATGTGCATAACTTCAATCCTTCTATTATCTAAAATCAGTAGATTTTCTGCTCCAGCTTTTGCCATCTCCAGCCTTTGTCTGAAAATGAAAGCCTTTAAATTTTCGTTTAAAGGAAAATAACTCAAAAGCGGAAGTAAATTTTTGAAATGTTAGACAGCATATTCTGATAGAGTTTAGTAACGTCTATATACTTTGAAAATTTGAGCGGAATTTATTGAGAAGTGAGTGAGATATGAAGCTTTAAAGTTGGAGTCTAGGAAGTAGAAGGAAAAAAAAGAATAATGAATCAGTAGAAGGTCTTCCGTTGGAAACGAAGACCTAAATCACGGTTTTTGAGTGCCTGCCAAATGAGAAGGGACTGCCATAAGGTTCTATTCTTGGGCCATTACTTTTTCAATGTTTTTAGCTCTACTGGTCAGAGACCAGAAGAGATTATGCGATAGTAATGCGTCCGGCATCCGTCCGTCTGTCTGTAAACAATTTTTCAAAACGCTACTCCTCCTACAATTTAAGTCTGATTTCAGTATTACTCGGCTCACAAGTAGACTACACTTAGATACATAGAATAGTGCATCGGTTTTTGATTTTGGTGAACGGTGTTGCCATGGTTACTATAAATAGAATTATCTGTGAAATTTCTTTAAAACACTACCCCTTCTACAGTTTTGGTCTGATTTCAATATAACTTGGCACACAAGTAGACTACACTAAGATACATAGAATAGTGCATCACTTTTTAATTTCGATGAACGGTGTTGCCATGGTTACTAAAAATAGAATTTTCTGTGAAATTCCTTTAAAATGCTGCTCCTTCTAGTTTTGGTCTGATTTCAATATAACTTGGCACACAAGTAGACTACACTAAGATGCATAGAATAGTGCATCGGTTTTTGATTTCGATGAACGGTGTTACCATGGTTACTAAAAATAGAATTTTCTGTGAAATTCCTATAAAACGCTACTCCTTCTACATTTTTAGTTTGATTTCAAAATAAGTTGGCACACAAGTAGACTACACAAAGATACATAAAATAGTGTAATGGTTTTTGATAAATACAAACCAGTAAAGCTACAGTCTCGACAGAGACTTCTAGTTATAAATTTAAATCATAAATTTTATTTATTTCTTAATTTAAAAAAATTATTTTATTTTTTATGCCTATTTTGCATTTCAGATTTTTATGGAGATCTATTTTACAAGCCTCTTCTTTTTGAATGTCACGTGTCTTCGATACCAGATCTAACCTGCTTAATCTTATTGTTCTGTAGGTGGAGAATGGGATTACGTGATATTTAGCACTGTACGGTCCCTCCCAGACTACAGAATAGAGGAACATCCAACACGGGGGTGGTGCATGCAGAATCTGGGCTTTATTACTGATCAACATCAGATCAACGTGGCTCTTACTAGGCCAAGGAAAGGACTTATTATAATAGGTACAATAACAATCAACAGCTTAAAAACTTATGACTTTTCAACTTTAAACACAACTATTCCCCACTAGAAATTAAAGTCAGGCCTTTTGATATCATCGAGAGCTGCTTTTTAAAATAAAAATGGAACTCGTAATTTCACTTATCTGGTCATTGGTCATTTACAAAATTATTTTGTTAAAACACATTCTGATTGCACACACAAGTACTCTGAAGTTGACATCAAAGAGATGCTTGAGTTTCTGATTGACAATATCTATGTGGTTTTTGGAGACCAGGTATTCCAACAATCTAATGGAATTCCCATGAGTACCAATTGCGCTCCGTTATTAGCAGACCTATTTTTATATTCATATGAAGCAGAATTTGTGCAAAATCTTATGCATGAAAGGAAGAAAAAACTTACTTCAACTCGACTTTTAGATATATCGACGACGTATTGTCAATTAACAATGGTAATTTCCATTCCTGTTCTACGTATGAACAATTTCTAAAACGAGGTAAATTATTGATAAGCAAGTTGATGAAACAAGAATATCAGCAGGCTTGTTTAAAGTAATCATTTCGTAAGTTCTATGGTCGATACAATGACCTTGTCAGCAAATACAATTTATCATTGAATCATATGCTGACTGACGTTTTTCATACTAATTGTAAGTCCATTATGAAGTATATGCAGAACTGAAGTCACATACATGTATATATTCATGTTTTCATGTTCGGTATTCTCAAAATTTTACACAATCCATGGTGTTTGATTTATTTAGCCTTAAAATATTAAACAGTTATAATAGATGTAATAAGAACATAAAGTCCGCCGAGAACCTGTTTTATACGCAATAACTCTCCTCATGCCCCTGCGCTAAAAATAGCGACATGTAATACTATAAATACTAATAAAACAAACGGGGCGGGGCACTTTGAGAGGGGCGAGAGACGTCCTAGGGAGTTTTGGTATAAAATTACATTGCATAAGCTCAAAATCTTCTTGAAATATCGCCCGGAAATGATAGTGTTATACACAGACAGAATGTATAAATTTACGACCTTGAACTTTGACCTTTTGACCTCAAAATCAATAGGGGTCTTCTTTAGGCCACAGGGAGTTGTTATGTAAAATTTCATTGCGATAGCTCAAATGGTTCTAGAGATATCGTGTGGAAACGAAAGTGTTTTAACAGACAGAATTTGCTTATTTATGACCTTGACCTTTGACGTTTTGACCTCAAAATCAATAGGGTCTTCTTTAGTCCATAGGGAGTTGCTATGCTAAATTTCATTGCAAAAGCTCAAAGGGTTCTCGAGATATCGTGTGGAAACGAAAGCGTTACAGACAGACAGAAAGACGGACGGACGGACGGACGGACAAACCCAAATTAATATCCCCCACTTTTCAAGCGGGGGACAAAAAGAAAGAGATGTCTAAATTTTGATACTATTGGCATTAAAATATTCAGTTGTACATAAATTGACAATCCCTGGTAATATCTTCTTTTTCTTTTTGAAAGAACATATAGTATTGCTTCCCCATAATTGCTACGTAATTTTTATGTAGAATTTTAAATTTCTATTTTAGGAAATCAACAACTGCTAAAATGTGACGGTGTTTGGAAAGAACTGCTAAAACACTACGCGAGACAAGGTTGTATTGTGGACTCCGAGAATCTTTATCAAACGATTGATGGCTTGGCACGGTTATAGTCAACCAATGCTCACCCTTTATTATACCGTGTAGTCAGACGCAGAATTGACTTACCCCTTACGGAGGAGTAATTTTAGGGATTTTATAATGTCAAAAGAGAAAGATGTAGCAACCATTACGGGACTTATTAATAGGGATATTCAATTTCATTGATTTCAGAATCTTCACTAATATCAAAATTGAATCCTCGCTAAAAATTCTGCTTACCGGTATACTATTTTGTGATTATCTTTTTCATAAGATTAGTTTTTTACATGAAAAAGCAAGGCATACTATTTTTATTTGTAAATATGTGTTGTTTTTTTTGTATATATGTGTACTTCTAAACTTTATTGAATGTTTTTACATATGTTACAATGATATTGAGAATTCTTTTCCAGTAATGGCTGGTTTAGAGAGAATAATCCTTTAAAAGTCAAAAGTTTAATCATCTGAAAGATGTGTTCTGAATTTAATTCAAAACTGTCATCTTGAAATACCTTTTTATTTTAAACTGTATGACCCCAATGGCATTGAAGGACAGTATACAGATTTTGATGTTTTATGATCTCAGTCCTGTATACAAGGGACTGTAAAAAATGTTTTACTGAAATCTGGTATGATTTGATCACACTTAGTATGTTCTTCTTATCCCCTCGCAACAAGTTTTGAAGAGATAAGTAACGCAATGGTTTATGTGTGGTTCTTTGTGTGCAAAATGACCTTTTTGCATTGGGGTCAATGTGGAATGCAGCCTTGATTTATAGATATGCTTTTTGGGATAAGAAGCCCCACTTTGTTTCAAGGAAATTTCGATGAAGCAAATTGTGTTTGTAGAAATGGCTTAGGCCAGGTATTCTTCACATCATGTATTAAAGAAGAAACAATGAAATATGGCCAAATTCATGTAAGAGTTTTGCATTATGATTGTAGAGCTAATAATTATTATAATTTTAATGATTGCAGCTGTCAGCTGATTTCTTGTCCATTTTGCATAATATTTATTGTGTCCATTGCACTGTAATTTATATAACCAGGTCCTTTATTGTATACATTTCTTTAAAGAAATGTAATTTATTAGGGAAAAGCAAACAAACCCTGAATAAAGCCTTAGATATTTAAGAAAATATACATGAGTTTTGTAAGTTTGCGGTTGTGGTTCTTTTTTGCGATTTTTGCGATACTTGTTCTAGCGGTAGTGTGATAATCAACATAAACCTGATTTTCAGTATGATGGACAGGAATATCTTTGAATGAATAAATTCGCATTAATGAATTTCAAACCTTTTTGGATTTTTTTAAGAGATAGGCATTTGACTTTTCATTACAAATCCTTTAACAAGACATACTATAGATCACTAAATTTTCAAAAAAAAACAAAAAAACATACTTTCGTATGGTAGACATTAACTCTCCATTGCCAAGACAAAATTTTCCGGAATTGTGGCTTTTTCCCTATATAATTTAATGGAATACTTAAAAATAAAGAGCATAATATATTTGCAAGTACACTGTCTCCCGTAATTATGTGAATATAAAGTTCTCACAAATAAAAAGTAATTTACAGTAGATTGAAAACGGCTTTTGCAGATAAATATATGGACACTCCTCCATTTCACATTTTTATTCAGCTCTATACACTTTATATAATAGATAACACTGAAAAGAGAAAGTTATTTCTTAAGGACGGACACATTTAACATCACAGTCAAAGGAACAGTTGATCAACAATAACAAATATCAGATCTAAAAAGCACTACAAAGTGACTTGATTTGGGAGTGGATACAATAGTTTACTGGAATGAATAACTTGGATTGGGAGTGGATCCACACCAGACTCCAATAAACTTCAGAATGTCATTCAACTCCGGGCTGTGAGAAACCTTAAAAGATAAAAAAAAATTATTTAATACAACATAAAATTGTCTTCATCATAAAAAATGTAACAGGTGTTCAATTTTCAAATATATTAGCCAATAGTTCTTAGAGACTGACATACCAGCCTGAACAAAAGTAAAACATGAAATTTTTCAATCATGTAAAGATGTTCTAGTTGACCAGCATTAAGTGTGCATAATTCTGAATGTATCAGATACATAATTTTTTTTTATATATATTTATCATGTTTGCTTGTCAGTGTTGTATGATCTCTACTATAACAAGCAAACAGAGTCCTAAATGCTCTACTTAACAAGTCATTGAGCATGTTTAGTAACATGCATGCCTTAGATCATGTACCCATTGATGCACAAATTTTTAAATTTGGTTCAGGTCCATGTAATAGCCAGAAACATAGCCAACAGGATTCTGTCATTAACTCATGAAAAATATTAAGCATCCACTAAGTCACAATACAAGTATTTACTAAAGGATATATGTACTACTTGTAATAATGAGCAAGAAATATATTTCATTGCTGACTCTGGGTCAGATATAGCATCTCATGCATGCCTGAGACTAAACACCCACCTACATATGCACGATAGATTCAAGGGTTTATTTTTACTGCTAGATCAACACATGTCTCCAATATTCTCCCTAAAATTTTGATTAGTTAGAGGTATAAGCTGACAGGACTCGAACTAGTAGAGCACTAGAAGATAAAATACCTTAGCAGCCATTATGATTTTGTTCCAGTCATCCTTGTTAGCCACCTTTCCTGGTCGTTTGAATTCCATTGGAGTTTTCAATACTGGATACCCTGCAATATATAGAGAAAAAAATAATAAAAATAAAAAATTTCAACAATGAATGACACAATTGTTTCCTTTTGCCTTAAGCATTTGATAGATGGAGGAGGTATTACTTATAAAGTAATCCTATCTCATGGTTCCAAAACCTGAGCAAATAACGAAAACAGAAATTTTTCTGACAAAAATTCTCCTTTCAAAACATTTATACTTATAATGTAATTTAAAATGAATTATATTTAAAAATAAATACACATTTTAAATGATTCTTCACAAATTGATAAAGGAGGTAATTTAAATATACTTGATTTCTTAATTTTACAATTGCTCATATAGCCAGTGCAGATTTTTTTTAACAATTGAACATTAATGATAAGGTAGTGATTTGTTCTCAAATTCAGTAGATTTTTCCATGGAAATCCTACAAAACATTTATAAAAACTGTAGGTATTCTCCTAAATGTAACTTATGAAAACAAAACAATGGAGAAAAAATTTTGACAAAAGGGGGACTCACCTGTGACCACACATGGTGGAGAGCGAATTCCTGTGTCTGGAGCGATCAGGGATGCCTCGTAGCAGTTACGCTCGTCTCTGGGTAAGACTTGTTCCACTTTCTGATCCATGGAGACAGCTAACACCCACTCCTTAACCTCCTCATGTTGCTGGCTCTGAAAACATTTGACATGCTGCTTTAAAATAGTTACTTGACAGAGCAACTCCATACTGTTTAGGTGGTTTATGTGTATTCACATCATTTTCTCTTTCATTTTTATAATTCTATGTATGGAGAGTTAATTATTATTTTTTTTACACTGCATATATACAAGTATATTTTTTCTAAGCAGACAGATATCATTTCCAATAGATTGTATGCTGAGTTAGGTATCTACAGACTTTCTAAAAATAAATCAAGACTTACTGTTAGATATGGCTTTTCTGGGAGTGGGATTTCAAATGGAATATCTGTGTCCTGGAAGTCGCTGTGGTCTAACATGTCTAGAGATCCTTCCTCAATAGCCTAGAGAAATAACAACATAAATTCAACTGAAACATTATTTATTCACAGTCTTGTAAATGTATGTGAATATCTACATGTGACTGCCAATTTCCTTCCAGCTACTGGGCTTGAAAACTGCTTACCTCTGAAATGTCCAGGTATCTATTCAAGAAAACAAAGGCTGCATTCTCCCAACCCACACTCTACAAAGGCAAACATTTAAAACTGATTAATATGGTATACTTATCTAGAAGTGAATTTTGCAAAAAAAAATTATAAGCACTGTCACAATTTCAAACAAATTTAAATGCAAATTGTAATTTGCAGCAATTATTTTGAAGATTAGTATAAGAATAAATTTTGTTTTATGTACAGTTTTCTGGGCAATACCAAAACATGATAACTTGTAATGAATACCCTGCACATCATTCCAGCCTCGTAGAAAGCCTTGTCGGCCGGGATTATGTCGGTGTGCCGCAGTAAACTGACAGCCAGCTTTGTGGCTAACTCCTCCAGAGATTTGTGTGGCTGGAATGCTGAACGGTTGGCATAGTAATGAGCAATCAGCAACAGGGACTCAAACTCGGCGTGCTGAGGGGAGTTAGCATCCGAACCCTTACTCATGTTATCACACTGCAGGAAATAACACTCACATTATACAAAAATCTTGACACAAAATCTTTAGACAAAATAAAATATTACATAAAACATTTTCATTTTGTTCTCTACTTTTCTGAAAAAATAGAAAATGTATGAAAATAAAACCACAACACATTTGCAAAAAGGCAAAAATAATATCTTTGAGATCAAAGAACAAAATTGGAAAAAATTTCTATCAATAGCTTTAAAATTAGACAATTTTATTCAAGAAATACTCAGTATTGCAACCAGTTTATTAAGTCTGGGTTCTTACCAAGTCAAACAAAACATCTCTCAGTTCTCCCCAGGTGTGGTAAGCATCTGGTTTGTTTAATCCTCTCATGCTTACAAGGTCACTGAATATCCTCTTGTAAATGTTAAAATTCTACAATAGAAATTAAAGAAACCAGTTAAATATTTTTGCAAATCTATGTGATTAGCTTCCACTTACATGTATTTGGATTTTGATCATAATAGCAAGTTTAATGTCAGATTGTTTAATCTCTTTTATGTGTTCATCCACTTGACAACTTTTCTTTCATATATTTATATTTCTCTTACATAAATATGTATGCCATAAACCTTCACAGATGTGACAATAAAAATTCAACAGAATTTAACATATTCATTAAATATATATTACCCAAAATGATCATACAATACTGATAATTGTCAAAGACATACCTGAGCATTAGCAGGTGCCCCATACTTGGCGTACACTTCCAGAGCTTTGCGACTGTCATTATTCTTTATTAGATGGGTGGCATACAGTGCAGCATACTTATGCAGAACCTTTGTATTCTGAATAAAATAAATCAAAAGGATATTGCAAGAGAACACAATTTTATAAACATCCTTAGAAGAAATATTTCTCTTTGACTCTCTAAAAAAATTTAATAATGAAATTTTTAATTCACAAATCTACCTGTTGTGCAGCAGTTTCCAGACATTTCTCCCATTCTCCTTTCTCAATGTACATATCCAAAGCACCCACAACGTCCACACTGGCAAGCTAGAACAAAGATTAAATCCCTTTTGAGAGCAAGTTGTACAGTTGGGAAGTTGCAGTAGGTTAAATTTTGTATCAGAAAATATAATACCAATAAACATAAATGCATGTACCTGTTCAGCCTTTCCTTGGTTTTTAAGACTGTCTTTATAGCGTTCATCAACATAAGCTTCCAATCTGAAAAAAATGGCAGTTTAAAGAGTTAAACAAATACATTTATCTGTGAAAAAAATTGTGTATTTCAAAATTTTATTGTACATGCACATTTTTTTCTCAAATAAAACTCTCCTGAATGCAGACATACATGTACCTATACTTATAATAAATTTGCACTACTTAGTATTCTTACACATAAATAGATTACATAACTGTCATTAAAGACAAACCTTGGTTCCAACTCCTTGGCCACCCTCTTAGCTTTATTCCATTCTTCTGCAGCAATGAACATGTCAATGGCATCCTTAATCAAGTCCACATTCAGGTATAGCTCTGCAGCCTACATACACAAAAAATAATGAGACTTTATAAAGTCAATAAATTGGATTTTGGACTTGCTGATAAAGTTTACTGAGAATTTTTTGTAGAAATTAATTTAGGCAGAATTCAAAATTCTACAGGAATATAACCTGACATTTATGAAATGTTTCTCTCTTTTTGAGGTACATTTGGTTTAATTTCTTTAAATAATATATTGATATATTTGCCCCCACAAAAGTCAAATTTTGAAAACTTCCTGAAATGTGCTGAATTCAATAAATTGTATGAGAAATATAAATTAACAGAAAATATTATAGTGTCAAAGCAGTGTATTCACAATTTTTGTTTATATGACGTCACAAACTAGTCCGATTTTACATCCTTTTTCAGAAAGAGGGAAAAAATGAACAATTTTCAACAATTTTAGCTTTAAAATTTATAGAGCGCAATTTTGTTCAGGAACGATATCGACATATTTCATTGATATTATCATTCTGCACATTATATCAAAATATTAATCCTGTTGTCAAAATATGTACATTTTTCTGTAAAATTCATAAAAAAGAAATTTAAGTCATGGTTGTGACATCACATATGGCGTCATTACTTATCTGCTTTGATTATACCTTTTAAATCTATTTATATCTCCATCAAAGTTTGATCTCAGTAAATCTGATTTACCTTCATCCAGCATTTCTCTAACACATTCCTATCATCAGTCAAATTTGTGGTCACTTTAAGGTAGCATTCCACTGCCCTGGCATATTCTCCTGATGATTCCCATTCCCGGGCCTGTCGTACCATAGCCTCAATTCCACTGAAACAAATATAAAATGTACCATTAATACATGTACTGACATCTATACATTATAATTTCAAACTTAGAAAATTAACCTGCTGAGGATAGTCTCACCTTTGACCTCCTTTGTCAGCCATTTCTCGTTCATACTCATCTTGTAAGTGTTGTAATTTGTGGGGAATATATTCCTTGCATACCCTCAGAGCATCTTGCCACATGCCAGACTCCTGTAAAATTATATAGTAAAGTTGTGAAATATTTTCCTTCAAGTTGCAGCTAATTCTATGTATAACCATGACATCTTAACATCTGTTTTATAGGACTTTTGCAAAGAATGCTGACTTTAAAAGTTGACTATATACTTCCACATATAAACCTGTGCCATGTATGGAGGTAAAAAATTGAAAATCGATAAAACTTTTTATATAATAGTGGTCATTGGTATGGTGTTTGAGGCACTACCATGTAAAAGGTGGTATTAGTTTTTGAATTCTTAATGTGCAAATTATATTTGCTTTATTTCACCCCTTCATTTTTGCTTAATTAAATGTTGAGCTAAATATTTTGCAATAGAGATTTTGTATATTGTCCTGGTGTAAAAGTAAGCCGTCAACTCTAAAAGTCAGTGCTCTTTGCAAAGTCCATTAGCAGAGTATACCTTATACAGGTACATAGAAAAAAAATTTCCATGCATGGTTTAAAATCATTTTAAAAGTTGAAATCTAACTTCATACAACTGATTTTACAAAACATCTTGAACATTTTTTAAAATGCATTTCTGTGTACATAAACATTTCTGCTGGAAATAAAGTATAGAGTACCTTATAATATTTGACAGCCAGCTCCGGTCTTTGGGCACGTAACAGATAAGACTCAGCCTTAGCGTACTCCTTCTCCTCAAAGGCAAATCGAGCCTGTCCTACAAGAACATCAGCCACTGAGTCTGGGTCACTCTGCTCAGCAACTCGCTGGGCCGAGTCCCAATCCTGGTTATGGACATACCTGGATAGGTCAAAATTACAGTATAAAGTACAGTGAACACATGGAAATATTTCATTTCCTTACAGAAATGCATAATTTATTAAAAGTGCATGTGCAAGACTGTAAAGCCAGGAACTGAAATTATATTTACAAGGACTGACTTTTAGCAAACATATCTGACTTGAAGAATTTGCATAAACAGGTATCCTTCTCTGAATGACTTACATAAGGACGGCCTCCTTGGGTTTTCCGGCCTTGATGAATTCAGCCTCAGCCTCGTGGAACCTTCCCTCATCCTCCAGGTACATGGCATGCTTCAGATGGATCTCGGGGAGTTTGTTCTTGTTGGCCAAACGTGCCAGCTCAAAAGCAAAGTCAAAGGCACTGAAATAAAACAAACAACTTCAAATGACTATACAATATTTCAGAGATAAACATTTAAACATCAGAATACACAAGAACTTTTTGAAGATTAAAGGGGTGAACATTTTTAGTAAAATCATTAAAACTTTAAAGATATACCTTAAAAAATTAAAATAAATATTTGGGTAAAATTAATTGTAAATTTAAAGTAAAACTTTTTCTTAATTGAAGAAAAACCCCAAAAAATGTTCTTAACTTGTAAAAAAAACTTAAGTAAAATAATGTAAGACATTTAGACAAGCTGTAATTTAAAGATTTATGGACAACTGATAACATTTCATGTAAATTTTTGAAGCACTGTACACTCACCAATTCTCTGAAGCATACTCAATGGCAGCATCCACAAGACCAAACTTAGCCAGCAGTTTGACAGCAGAATCTCCACCCAGACTTTTAGCCCACAGATAGGCAACTTGTTTGGCAGCAGTGGCCCCTCCACTATTCTTAGCAACCTATTTATAAACAAGTATCATTTACACCATTTTTAATTTCTTTCTCTGTGAAATTGATAAATCTTCAAGTTTAGAATTAAGATGTAACTGGTTTACCTATTTCATACAAATTGGAATTGCTGTACATTCCAGTTTTTATATGAGATACGTATCAAATCTCTATTTTTTACTCGTTGCTATTGCATAACTTCAAGTTTGACCTCTGTATACATAGAAACTTTTATTGTCCGATAAAATCTGTTCTTACCCTTATTTAAATTGGTGAATTCAAAGACCACAGTATTATATGCTACACACAATTGCGCCTGAGCAAATTTCAAACATAACAAAATTTTTGGTATAAATAACACTGGGCCAAAACTACCCTTTCTACAGTATATATAAATGAGTCCCCTCACCCTATGTGCCTCCTCCCACATATCCTGTGATCTGTACATGTTGACGGCAGCCTTCCAATCTCCAGCCTCCAGAAAGTGGTGCTCAGCCTGTCGTAGATTTCCCTCTGATTCCAACTCCTGTTAATTACAGTCATACCAGTTTTAATTTGTGTATATTTATGGAAATTTATTATGAATGTACATATTGAGGATAAAACCATTTTAGGTAGCAGATACAAACCAAAACATCGTAAATTCATACTTTTGCAAATTAGAGAAATAGAAAATTGGTCCTTACCCTGGCGAGGTGTAGGTGTGTGTCCTGTACAAGGTCTGGGTGATGGACCTTCACCAGCCTAATCATGTCCCCGTACATCTTATGTTTCTTATACATAGTGATGGCCAGGTCTGGCTCCTGAACTGCTACATACAACCTGAAATCAGGACAGTCAGTATTACAGATAGTCAATTAATGCTTCTATATTCATTATGTGTAACTTGCTAAATACACAATATATTGTTTATATCATGATAAAATCTCCATCTTTCAATGTTTATAACTCCAGAATATTAACTTTAAACAACAGTATGATTGTGCATATGCACAGCTGTATCCGTAAATTTTCCATCTCAGTGCCTTAGGATCTTTTTATATATATATAAATCTAACCTTTCAGCCTCTTTGAACTTGGCCTGACTTTCCAGTTGACGTGCTTGTGAAATATACAGAGTGGATACATCATCTGATTTCATGTAGGTGGAGGCCAACTATATTAATAAAAATTAAAAAATATATACCAGGTAGATTTAAATTACCCACTGCTAATACTGCTGGAAAAATAAAATTCAAAAGAATCACATCAGCTGGCTTTTAAAGAAGTGCTTGCCCTTTTTATGAAGACCTATTTAATACAAGCCCTTTACCTTGTGTGCCATTTCCCATTTTCCAGCATTGTTGTACATGTCCACAGCTTCCCTAGTACAGCCAGCCTCCACGTAGTATTGTTCTGCTTTCTGCGGATAAAAACACAAATCTTTAAATTTTTATACTTTCTTCCTTTGAATTTCAACTGTTAACTGCTTTCCATGCTTATTAACCAAAACTGGACAATTTTTATAGCATTGGTTAATTTTATGCATTAAAACTGTTTTACAACACAGTAGTAGTAGTAGTAGTAGTATTTATTTGGCATCATGTCATCATACATAAAACAAATACACATAATTATACATAATCTTATGAAAGATTTAAACTTTTTATAAATAAATAATTTCCATGCTTATTAACCAAAACTGGACATTTTTTTAAGCATCAATCAATTTTTTCATTAAAAGTCAAAAGTTTTACACACACACTAAGAAAGCATCAAACATACAAAATGAAACACACACACCTCATATTCGCCAATGGAAGCGTAGTGATCTGCAATCTGTTTGTAGTATTTGGCAGACATGGAAGAGTCCTGTATCTCCAGAATCTGGACAGCCTTCAGCCATTGTCGAGACTGAATGGCAGCTTCTACAGCTTTAGTTGTGGCCCTGAGAGAAACATACCAGTTTTTATTTAATAATTGATTCATTGTAGTGATTTTGATAACATGTACATGTGCATTTTAAAAATCAGGTACACAAAACACTTTCAGCTACAGTAAAAAAATCTTGATCTCTTTAATGACTGACAAAAATCAATACCTTGCACACACATCATATTTAATATAACATAAATGTCCTCTGAGTACATACAGTACTTTGATCTTTTGGATTATTGGAACTATTTAGCTTACCCGGCCTCTATGTAGTGGTTGATGGCAGCGTCTAGCTGTTTCTGAGAAGACAAATAGTCTCCCCATTGTTCCTCCAGCTTAACAACTTCTGCTGGGAAAGCATAGCGAGCCAAATCCACAGCTGTAAGTTGAATCAATATAATAAATATACAAGATAAAGTTTTAAATGCAATTTTTCTAAAATATGTTAAAATGCATAAAACATTATCAAATTTCTACCTCTGCGGAAAGCATGTCCCTTCTTGAAGCACTCCATGGCCCTGGCTGTGTCCTTGATTTTTTCATACATGTCACCAGCCTATTATAACAAAATAAAACAAAAACCCAGTGAGCTTGATGGTCACAAAAGTATCATCAAATCCATAGCTATAATGACAACCTACCACTTCATCCGGATTATAATTTAATTAGTGTGTTCATTAACTTTCAACTAACAAATTATCCATATGTGCTGAAGTTAGTGATTTCAAGGATTCTTGTTTTCTTTGAATGTCTGAAAAGGATTTATATACATGAATGTTTCAAATTTTTTAAAATCATTTTATACTTTTCACAAAATACCTACCCTTTCATATAGCTCTCCTTTGATCAAAGCTGAAGCAATTCTTGAAATCAACTCTGAATTTGACATTAGCTCCTGCAAAAAAAGGGAACATATGAAGAAATTTATGTCAAATGGAAAATTCAACATAAAACACAATTGTACATCTTGACTAATAGAAACAGAATACACTGTAACATTTCCCCTTACTTCTCTACTTGTGGCTAGCCTTGCAGCCCTGGCAGGCAGACCAGCCTTCATGTACAGGTTAATGGCTGCCAGGTAGTCTTCTTCTCTTTCTTTAAGCTGTACGTAAAACAAGACAATCAAGTTAACTGTGTAGGTAATTCCTTTCTTCATATTTCAACTTGTAATATTCTACAGCCATTTTTTATACATATAATCTTCACACATCACAACATTTCTACAAAGAGTGATTTGACTTTTATATACACTGTTCACAATAAGATATTTGACCCCTGACCTCTCCGGCGGCTTCCTCCTGTCCTGTGTTGATCAGCCACTGATAATAACTCCTCTGTAGATTGTCTAACTCTGGATGCATCTGTATTTATAATTACATGTATATTAAAAGCACATTTTAACTGTTAACAACGTTTCAAATAAAGTTTCTCTACAACAAAATCAGTTCAATTCATAAAACTTGATTTGTAAACTGACCTTGGCTTCAGCAACTTCAATGGCTTCATCCCACATGTGCATCTCTTGGTACATTTCCATAGCTTCATCCACATGATTCTGCAAAATACAAAAAAAGAATATAATTACGTTATAAAGTTGTATATTGCATCTTCACTTTATACTTGTTTGCACACATGTTACCAGAATAATACAGGCTATCTGGCTGCATTTTCATACCTGTTCAAGAAATATGCTCTCTGCTTCTTTAAATCTCTTGTCCATTATAGCCAGTCTTGCCCTAACTCTGTAATGGTTGAATCCATCGCCACCCTACAAACATCAACACACAAATGTTTCTCTCTATCTAGATGCTGACAGTGACAAATATTTTCAATTCATTACACCTCTTTATTGTACACTTACCTTTGTCCTGGATATTTCCTCGGCAAGTCTAAAGGTCTCCTTCATGTACCGGGCTTTAGCAATGTCCCCCAGAGCAGAAAAGCATCTGAAAACATTTAAAATATGTTGAAAAGAAAATTATTATATATTATCATTCTTCATGATGAAGTATGAAACTATACACATGTAGGTAAATACCTTTCTGCTATATGAAGTCTTCTGTCCTCCATGGCCAGTTTGCTCAGAGTTTTCCACATGGCCTCAGTCTCTGGTGACATCTCAAGGGTCTCCAAAAATGACACAGCTCTGTCCAAAGAAACAAAGGCATGGAATCAATCATCATGTTTCTTACATGTTATATTTCCATAAGCCACTGAATTTATGCATAAAATAATACATCTTGAACAATCAAGAAATGGTTTTTATCTGTATAATCATATTCTTCACCTCTCATAGTCCCCGTCATCAATAGCGGTGCCGAACTCTATCAGCCCCTCGTCCAGTGTGTAGGAGATGGTCTGTACCCCCTCCTGTACCACCACCTCCGTCTTACCATCAGCCTTCTCAAGGTCCACTATGTCTCCCTGTAAAAACAATAATAGAATTCAAAACAAATATTCCAACTCTCATTTTTTTTTACTTATCTGATGCTGTGTAAGGTGTAAATTTTACCTAAGATTGCAAAATTATCATCTTTTTAATTGATTTTTCACCTTAATAGAAAACATGGTGACTCTCTCTGGAGCGTCAATATTGTACCAGATACACAGGTTTCCTCGGTTCTGGGCCACGACCACATCACTTCCTGGTACCCACTGTTAACAAACCAGAAAGGGAGATTTCATTATAATACAAAAATATGGACGTACAGTATTTATTTTCAAATATTTTTGTATGTATTTGCAAACATTTGAAATACAAAAATGTAAGACTACTCACCTGTACATATGAACAGTAATTCAGTATAGTTGTCCTTTGTTGTGACTCAATGTCATACAGGTTCAACTGCAAATACACATAGGAATATAACATTAAACAAATAATTTTAAAACGGGTAAGTATTTCATTGAAAAACAGATTAAACAAATATTAATCTTTAATTTTTTAAAAAATATTCTGAATCTAATGCAAACCCTCATTCTCTTGTCTCTAAATAAGATCTTTCTACCAGTTTCATTCAACTGAAATAAAAATAAAATTCAACAGATTGAAAACTGCAGTATTTTCAAGTGGTATTGTAATTGCATGATAATCAATAATATTAAGCAACACCTTTTACATTCATCTAATTAAATTTCACCTATTCTTCTACTCTTACCTCTAACCAGTCAATCTTGGACTCATGGTTCACCTGGCCAAGGGTCATTCCTGTCACCAAGTCCACTGTAGGTAGAATAAGGATGAAATATAAACATGTGAGCTGTACAGTCGCCTTTCAAAATCCAGAATGAAACCAACAGATTTGCTTCAATTATTTTTCTTCTTTTTTGTATATTTTCACGTTTTTTAGCAGAGGAATAAAAATCTGAGAACATGAAATATTGCACAATCATCTTAATTTTGAGGGGTAAATTTTTGTTAGCATTCAAAATTATATAGCTTTTTATGGATGTAATTTTGTGGATGATTAAATTTATTGTTCATAAGAGTGTAAATTTTCTGACTAAGGATGTCTTTTGAAAACCCCAAATATTGGTCCCATGAACAGTGATGATTCTACAGACTTGATTGGCTAGTTTTAGTTTAACATGTAATTACTGATAGCGATGGTCTTGAGGTCCAGTAAGTAGGCAATCTTCTTGTTATCCTCCACGCCCCTCTGTTTCCTCTCGTTCAGCCTGACGCTGATCAGGTGGGGGTTCATAAACTCCGTCCTCACGCACCCCAGAACCTCGTTAGCTCCGTACTCTATGAGGGCCAGCTCCCCCGCATTGAAGATCATGCAAACCTTCAATTATAAATGTTTTCTGATTTTTGCATATAAGCAATGTTACTCTCACTTCTTTTATCATAAATAAAACCATATTGGAAATTAATCACAATACAAAATGTGCGTCTTTTTATGTAAGGAGCAAACATAGCTCACTTAACAGGGGTGTGCAATTACCATCGCCCGACGCCCGGGGCTACCAATATTTGAGGTCGGGCTATCGTAAATCTATATTGCGTTAGCCCGTCGGGCTAGTAAATCTAAAATGAAAGTAATCGCATATTTACCTCGACTGAATTGATGTACAAGTTAACTTTTTTGTACAATCATAATCTTTGAATCGTTTTAAACTATATGTATTTTGTGTTGCTATTGCCAGTCATCTAAGTGATAATTGTAGTCGATAAAATAGGGAGAAGTACCTGACAATTACAAAGCGCAAACTATTTTTTGTTTTATTTCTTTCAAGTAATTTTTTTTACCTTTATGTTATTTTAATCTTATACATATATTGTTTTCAGTAGTTAATGGGCTAGTGACTGGCAACCTCGGGCTAGTAACTTTGTTACTGCCACTAGCCCGACAGGCTAGTTACTTATTTTTGTAATTGCACACCCCTGCTTAAAAACATATAATTAAGAAATAAAATATCATTTTTAGAGTTTCTTTGGGGTATGACATGAAGTTGGTCACATGATCAAAGTCTATAATGCCCGCAGGTTGTTTTAACAAAGTTATAGGAAAAGGGGGTAATAAAATCAACAATATACTTACATTTTCATTGTCAAAGTAATATTTCTCATTTCCTCCTGAGCCTTGCCATGGAATCTGATAATAACAAATATAAAAATAATGAACAAAATTTCTGCTTCTTCCTAGAAAAACATTTTTATGAATCTTTTTATTTATGTTTCTCTTAAGACCTAGAATAAACTCATATTATTTCAAATGGTTCTTTAAAAAATAGAAGCACAAAAAAGTGGAGCAAACCCTCACAAAAGAGCACATCAATCTCAATATAAATGATCACATCCAATATTCAAGAATTCAGACATTACCCAGATAAACACAAGCACGCTACTCTAGCCCCTTTAACTTCATTGTGAGGGGGTAATTATAAACACAGTAGAGCAAAAGAGAATTAAATCAAGCCTCAGTTTCAGTATACCTCACTGAGCTTGTTTTGCTCCAGGTCTCCCAGTAAGATGGTGTCTGAGGTGTGAGCCACTAGGTACCGATCCTTCCCCATGATACGGACCTCATCAATCTCGTACCCATAGTGAGACTTAAGCACCACTCTCTGACCACTCGACAAATTCTTCACAATCACCTTTGAAAGAAACCATACATTCCAATTCAATAAAATATAACTATACTTCAAAGAAAGCATAGTACTTTTAGAACACTTATAATATGGAAAAATATTCAAAGGGAAATAACTCTTACTCTTACCTGACTGAGTCCAACATGGGTCATTTCAAACTTGTTCTTGTAAATGGTTCTCTTCAGACAGCAATCAAAAATTTCAACTCCCCCACACAAGGTGCCCTATTTTCAAATTAAAATCGTTAATCAAATATACCTAAGAATTTACAGCAAGTATGGCTTTACAAATTCACTATGAACTGTATAAAAACTTTGGACAGAGAAAACACTGCTATGAGACAAAATTTCATGAACCATCCTGTATATAGTACTAACACCCAGTAAAACCATCCAGTATAAAGTACTTACACAAGTAACCCTGGAGCCGTCTTTCTTCCATGCCAGAGCAGTAATGGTATACAGATTACGGATCTCCTTTAGCTTTGGTTCATCCCACATCTGTCTCCTTGGGCTCCAATTCAGAACCCTTAACCTGTACATAGAAACGACAGATAATGAATCAACTATTTATCACAACAATGCCAACAGCAGTAACAGGTGATAAAACAATATTCAATTCTTAGTGAAGGATTTTGCCGTGTACAAGTTTTGAAGTTCTGATAGCATTTAACATTGTTAGGTTTCCTGACCAATTAACATATACACTCTACTCAAAACATATTTGTTAAATATGCATATTCATACATGTTCTTGTTTAAATGTTTGCAGTTCTGACTGTTTTTTTCTTACTTGTCAAAACTTCCAATAACTATTGACTGTCCACTTGGGCTGGACACAGCGCATGTAAACTCATGTTCATCTTCCTCCCGACTGTAATCAAAGTGCTGGAAACTCCGACCTTCACGTCCGTACGCAATGATTCTCTTGTCACATCCAGCAGCTACTATGGAATTCTGGGAAAAGGCCAATGCATATGGAGGACACGGGTGTGTGCTTATCTTACCCTGAAAAAACAGAAATGACATAACTATTCAGGTTCAGAAATAAAGCTGCTTAAAGATGTGTTTGCATGCAGGTTGTTTACTAAATTATAATATTGTTATGCACATACATAGTTTACATTATGAAAGGCTGAAAGTTAAAGATTTTGCAAATAAAATGAACAGAAAATTTGATGATGATCTCCTAATATTAAATAGGGACCTTTAAAAAGGATAAGAGTTGACAACTAGAAATTTTTGGCATTAGATATATGATATATTATATATGTCACCTTTTTCAACTTTCCCAAATTGTCCAAGTTTCCATGTTTAAACTGATAGTTTTAACTTTCAAAAGTTATCATTACAACACATATGCCATTTTAAACAAGAGACCCATGGGCCTTCTAGGTCACCTGAGCATCATGCAACAACTTTCTAACCATTGAATTTGGTTCATGTTTTAAACCAGAGGCCATGGCATTTACAATTTTCAAAGAGACACCATTGCTTATCATAATTATACACTTAGCATGCTTACTTTAGTTACTTAATACCCAGAGGAAGATCAGAGTAACGAAGAGGAAATGCATTCTTTTTATAAACAGTTGTGCACCACTGACCCTGGGGCCACATATTTCAAAATTTTATTTCTTCATAAGTGGTTGATTAATACCAAAGAGCAGATTTCAAAGCATTAATTCATTTTCAGACCATGTAACACTCCCCCCCCCCCCCCCAGTGCCCCTGACACAGGGACCCTGAAATTAACCATTATGTAAGAGAAACATTTCTTCATCATAAATCTGTACTTAGATCATTGGCATAATACCCAGGAGCAAAGGAAAAGATTTTCAAAGATTTTCAAAGACTTCATGCATTTTCACTATACATGTATATACATTTATAATCATTAGAAACCCTCCCTAACACCAGATCCTCTGACCCAGGGGCCCTAAAATTCAAAAATTTGGAAGAGGCATCCTTCCTCATCGTAACTATGTACATAGTTCATTGGTTTAATACCCAGGAGCAGAGAAGAAAATTTTTAAAGTATTACTGTATTTTCACTTTATAATCAAAAGAGCCCCACCCCAACTCCAAAACCCTCAATCAGCCAGGGCCCTAAAATTCACAATTTTGGGAGAAGCATTCTTGCTCATCATAACTATGTACTTGGTTAGTTTGTTTGATATCAAGGAGAAGAGAAGAAGACTTTAAAAAAAATAATGCATTTTCACTATAAAATCAATCAAGCCTTGCCCTAACAACACTACCCCTGACCCTGGGGCCATGAAATTCACAATTTTGGAAGATGCAGCCTTATTCAACAGAATTATGTACTTCGTTAGTTTGTTTGATATCAAGGACAAGAGAAGAAGACTTTAAAAGAAATAATGCATTTTCACTATAAAATCAATCAAGCCTTGCTCTAACAACACTACCCCCAACCCTGCATGGGGCCATGAAATTCACAATTTTGGAAGATGCAGCCTTATTCAACAGAATTATGTACTTGGTTAGTTTATTTAACATTCAGGAGTAGAGAAGCTTTTCAAATAAATACCCCCGGTAATGCATTTTCACTATATCATCTATTTAGCCCCGACCCAGCTCTAGAACCCCAACCCTGGAGTCATGAATTTCAAAATTTTAGTAGAGGACTCAATGCTGATTACAACCATGTCAACAGCTTGAATGCTTGATGTCCAAGAGTAAAGATGAAGATTTTTAAAGATTGCATTAAATTAAGTGGTTATGGCCCCATCCCTCAGGCCCCAGGGATCATGAAATTCACAATATTTGTTCCCCTTCACCCACAAATGTTTTATGCCAATATTGGTTGAAATTGGTTAAGCGGTTGCAGAGAAGAAGATGAAAATGTTCAAATGTTAACACATGATGCACACCGCACAACAACGGACCAAAACGGATAGCAATAGGTCACCTGAGTTACAGGTAAAATACAAATGTGTAGAGTAGTATACACTTCAGAAATGTTCCACAGCAGACAAAATTTGACTTTCCTTTTCTGATAATTGTTTCATTGTTAATTGCCATTTAACAGTGATGTGTGAAATCTGACCGGTTGTTGGCAACTTTGTACCTGTTAAAATTGCTCATGCATATTGCTAAGCATGTGGATATGATACAATTGGCCAAATTTTGAAGCATACTATATACATGTACCAAAATTATTTAATACCTTTCATTTTATTAATTTAATGTGTCCATAGGGATGCACATTTATTAAGATAATGCATCCTGAGCAAAATTCATGTGTTAATTTACACAGAACGCACATCAAAATGAATCACTGACTGGATAGGTCACCTGAGTGACTCAAGTGACCTATTAAAGTTAACATGTACAAAAAACAGATCTGAAGGACTTGAAAAAAAAAAAAAACATTATTTATTTTGAACTCTACCTGGGAATCTCCAGAGCCTTCATCGTCAAAGAAATACCTCACAATGGCACCATCAGCATGGCCAGACAAAAATCCCTTGCCAGAGGGACTGAAAAAGATTTATTCCATTTATAAGTAAAAAGTTATATGGGGACAATGGTTCAATGCAATTTTAAAATTTTAATTGGTCACAGATAAATCACAGGTAAATGGCTGGAAAAGCAACTAGTTTGTGAGGTTGTCTGAACTTGAATCAGTAATAGTATTTTTCTATATACCGGTAGTTATAACAAAAAATGGAAACCAAAAATGTGTACTATAAAAGCTGGGAAGATTTCTTAAAATGAGTCTGACTTACTTTGAAGCTAGTGAAACCACATAGGACTCAGTACCATAAATAGTAGAAGATTTGTTTGTCTTTGTGTTGGCAGCTCTAACCTAAAAATAGTTGTTAGTTCATACAAGTCAATAAATATTAACAAATCAATAATTGTTAAAACAAGGTAGAACAGGTAGAAATTTATGTACATATTTTGGTTTGTGATGTAACAAATATAGAGTAAATTTTACCTTGCCATCTGCCAGTCCAAACACAATGGGTTGATCCGGGGGCCAGATAAGACAGGTTACAGCACTCTGTTGTACAAACTTGTTACAGATTACCTTCTTCTCTCCCCTGGCCACGAAAAGTGGAGAATGTTAAAATGCATATGATAAAATTTTTCATGAGTGAAAAACATTGCATCATATTTCAATACTCCTGTACTTTAATAATTTTGATATTTACATATACATTTATAAGTCAGGGCATATGCAATCTAATTAAAATTAGATGTTACACTAACATCTAACAACATCCCATAGAGGGTCATGTCAGAGGTAAAATTTATAACAACTCTAGACTTATTCGCTGAAACAAATTTACGATGATTTTGCAGGCAATGATTTGATTGGTCAATCATAGAATTTGACTTCTGATGTGACCCTCTATGGGATGTTGTTCGATATTAGTGTAAAGAGTATGCGAGCAGATCTAACATCTAATTTTAATCAGATTGGAGCATATGCAATTTATTAAAGCATTATTATTTTTTTTTTTATTCTACTAGGGTTATACTAATTTTACGGAAAAAGAAAGCACACTATCCTTACCAATCCTCTCCAATTTTATACACATAGATAATGTTGTCAGTTTGTCCAACAGCAATTTTAGAAGAGTCTCCAGAGAAAGCTAGTCCTTTCACTGTGTAGCTTCTTTTACCATACTTAAATGACAATAACAAAAGAGGGTTAAGTTCAAGGTTTTTTTTTAAATTATATCATATTATATTAAAAAAAGGCCTTTATAGATCATCCATTTTTCAAAATGCAATTTATTTCATAGCTTCATTATGTTTTCCTTTTTAATTAACCTTCTTATTAAAATTGAATCTCAATGCAATCTTCATGAAGTTCACAGGGCAATGATTCAGACATTTGAATTTACACTATGAAATGAGATTTTCATACTCAACTGACAATCTTACCTTGGCATCTGCTGGTTTTGTGGAAAATTTATCTCTTTTTTCCCCTTGTTCATCAAACAATAAGATCACACGGTCTGATGTACAAACTGCCATCTTTTGGTTGTTCGGAGCCCAAGCAATGCAACATATCTTTGCTGCCCCATCCTTAGAATCAATAGAAATTTTGACATAAGCCCTGCAAACCTATTAAGCATGACAATGTACAAAACGGAGTATGTTAATTTTATCACAGATTTGCAGCTTAAAATAATATAAGCAAGAGGCCAATGGGCCACAACACTCACCTGATTAATTCTACTCATGCTGTTCTTCACCTAATCCCCCCCCCTCCCCCTGCAATACTCATTGTGACCACATGTACATGATCTACCACAAGGGGCAATGATTTGAATAATTTAGAGGCTACACTACCTCAGGAAGTTTCCACATAAATTTCAATTTTTCTGGCAGAGAGGTTCTTGTTGGAGAAAATTTTCAAATATTTTTCCTCTATTTTTCAATGTAAAAACTCTTATCATTCTCTATTGTGACCCCACTCTATCCCTGATGACGTGATATAACTTAGAATCTACACTACCCAAGGATGCTTTCAGATATTAAGTTTTATCTTTTATGTCTCGATAGTGTTTTTTACAAGACTCTTAAAGATTTTTCCAGTATGTTTCAATGTAAAACTTGAATTTTCTAATGTGGTCCCACCCTACCCCCGGGGTCATGATTTAAAATTCAGTCATTATTAGTTTTTAACACTTACAATATTTATTGTTTCACTTTGCATATATTTCCTTTTAGCTGTACATATTTACTTCTCAAATGTAAATAATTTTCTCTGTAATTGTTCCAACATGAAATGTCAATTTTGAAAGTAAACAGTATCAGAAATCTGACAAATGTGATCTCTTTGAAAGTCTCTTATCTAATATTTCTGAGTATTGGCATAATTCCTATACTTTCCAAAACTTTTCAAGGACAGTTTTTGGGGTACTACTAAGTAGAGTACGCTAGAGTATGATAGAGTACTTCAGAGTATACGCTAGAAAAATTGTGTAATTTAATACAACTGGACTGTTTATTTTCAATGTATATACATACAACTTGATTAAACAGTATTTTAATATAATATTGCAATATTTGTCTCAAATATTTGTTTTTTAAGCGATATTTTGACAAGAAAGCAACATTCATAATTCAATGCATTTAACAGTGTTATTAACACCCTGATCTCGATTACTATGTTATTTCAGACTTATTAATTTCAACTAAATTTTATTTCTCAAAAGTTAAATTAATTGCATTACTTAAAATTTAATATTTCTCACATTAACAATGAAACATTTTTGCATATCAAGTTAAATTAAATCGGGACCTTGATAAAACGATAAAACTAAACCTGAAATAAAAAATTAAAATAACTTCTAAAATAAGGAAAACATACAAATTTCATTTACCGGTAAATTTATATTTATTATGTTAATGTAATATAGATAAACATATAAAAAGCAGTTTAATTGCTTTACATTATAAAATTTTACTAGCGTACTCTAAAGTACTCTATCATACTCTGTTTAGTAGGACCGCAGTTTTTGTAGACCTAATGGCCATGTGTTCATCTATGGATTAATCTCAGTTTTTATACTATAAGGAATACCTGTATCTTGATGTTTAGGCCTATACTATAACTAACCAGATAGGCAACATTTAGAACCATTTTCATTTGCCCAAAACTGAACACAAATACTTTATTGGCACAAAGACATAATTAACACAATAAAACTAAGTTTATTCCAAATCAAAACAAGTCTGTTTTCTGATGAAAGTATATCTTTTGAATTCTTCCATAAATTCTCAAAAATAGTCGTTCAACGGATGATTTATGGTCTCTTGCTTTTTATACTGTACGCATGAAACAAGATAAATATTTTGTTGATCTTTGGTCTAAAATTTTCAACAAAACGTACCTGTGGTGGTAGCAAATTTTTCAAATGTTTCAACTGCATGTTTGCAGTTTCAAATTCCTCAACCTTCTCAACTTCTAGTTAAAATAGCTTTGTCTTTTATCAGGACAAGTGTCAACCTTCTCTAAGCCGATTTGGATTTGTTTGTGGAATGCTAAGGAAGGCCTCGTTTTCGATACTTATCCGCAGATCCGTAAAACGAATTAGATTTTAAAATTTACCCAAGAAAAATAAATAACACTCTTAAAAAATACTTTCACGTCGTTGAAGGCTAAAAACACTTAAAATACGTTGCAATTTTCAAAGAATTTTATAATCTATTACATTTCCAACTGGATCTAAGAATTTGAGGGGTGGGGTTAATATTTAGTTGAATGTCGAACTCGATTGTAATACAGAATTTTAGGGGGTCATGGGCGACAGCGCTCACCTGAATCAATGTAGCCTCGGTGTTCTTCATGAGCAGATTTAGTCTTTTAGTGTTTTGCTGTTTTTGAGCAAAAGATAAATATATAAATTTAGCCACGTAGCATCAATTTTCAAAGGGGGGGGGGCAACCTGAGATAAATTTTTTTTTCTCACCTGAAAAAGTCAGTTTTCTTTTTTAAAGACAAGCAAAAAAAAAAAAAAGAAAAAGAAAAAAAAGTTGCCCAAACTCGAAAATCGTATTTCGTGGAGGGTGGGGTGGGGGTGGGTGGGTAGAGGCCAACTTTTTTCCAATACCAACTTCTTTCAGTACCAATTTTTTACACTACATTTTCCTCAACATAAAAAGTTGGGGGGGGGGCAACCAACTGAACTTTTCCTATAGTATAATTAAGCCCCCCCCCTTCCCGTTGCTACGTGCCTGAAAATAGTTTTAACGGATTAGTCAGATATTGCTTAATTTATAATCATTTTTCTTTGTTTTCCTTTTTTAAAAAAAGATTGTCATAAAGTACCTGCTGAACAGGCACGTAGGGGAGGGGGCTGTCCTCTCCCCACTTTTTTTCAAATTAAATATTTTTAACCATTTAGAACGTTCATTGAAAGGCTGGTTGACCCCCCTCACTCTTGTTGTCAGTTTAACCAATTACTCTATTCCCACCCCTTTTGCTCATCAAAATTTTTTTGTTGTTCCTTTCCCTGGCCCCTCCCCAACCTGAATCTACACTACCTGAGGATGCTTCCACATGTTTCATCTTTCCTGGCCCAATGGTTCTGGAGAAGATTTTTTAAAAAGATTTTTCCTATATTCCTATGTATAACTTTGATCAGCCATTGTGGCCCTGCCCTACACCCGAGGGTCATGATTTGAAGAAACTTGAATCTATACTACCTAAGGATGCTTCCACATGAGTTTCATCTTTCCTGGCCCGATGGTTCTTGAGATTTTTAAGATACCATTAATTTTTCATTAATTCATAATCATCTCCCCTTGGAAGAGGTATTGGTCCTTCATTTGAACAAACTTGAATCCCTTTCAACCAAGGATACTTTGTGGCAAGTTTGGTTGAAATTGGCCCAGTGGTTCTTGAGGAGAAGATGAAAATGTGAAAAGGTTACGACAATGACAACGACAGACAAAGGACAAATTTTGATCAGAAAAGCTCACTTGAGCCTTTGGCTCAGGTGACCTAAAAAGGCCACTCAAATTCTTTCACAGAAAGTAATAACAACTATCAGAATTTAATCTTCATTATTTTTTATTTTTTGGCATATACATGTATCAATTTTGCACGAATGGCAAAATATTTGTACAATATCATGGTCCCAGAACAAGTTCAACATTCAATCAACTATTCTGAGAAAAAAGCAGATTTATCTTTCACCTGCAACATATGATCATTAACAACATAACATAGGTCTTCTCTTAAAACAGAGCACACATAAACATTTGTACAAATTAATCCACATCAAGTTCATAAATAATCCATACACAGAATTCAATTGTTAAGGCACATCCATAAAGGTATGTACTGAGACAACATTATGACGTTACATTTCTATCAAAACCCTGACTACATAATTGTGTTTCTTGTCTTAAATCTCTCTTAAAGCCCATGCTGTAAAATATAAAGACCACATTTGTATTTAATCCAATAAAACTTGGGAAACATCTGTGAAAATAAACAACAGCTGTACAACATAATAAAGCAGACCTATCTACAAGTATTAAACTCCAGTGTCTATTTTCCCCAAAAATTTATAATAAAACATGGTACAATATCTGGCAGTTTGCTTACATTTACGGCAGAAAGAACACAGACTGGAAATAAGATCAAATGCCACTAATTTTCACACATATATATACCCTCAATCATTTCAAAAACCGACATTGGCAATGATTAGATTTTTGTTGTTTTGACACATATTTTTTGTAAATAAAAAATAATTAAAGGACGGCATTACAAAGCAAATTTATAAATAAATGCTGGAATTGTTGCAAATATAAAGAAGTGCACAACTTTAAACTCCAGTCATTCTCTTCTTTGTCTACTACACATGTATATAAGCTATAGTAAATAATACACATTGTTTTTAAGTATTTACTATTGCTCTGAGGAGTTATTCGTATGATAAAGTTAATATTATGTCAATGAGAACATCCCCATTCGCAATAAATAAAAGGAGACTTTTTTGATGGAAAAACTTCTCAAAAAGATGGTTGAAAGTATAGATTTTATGGTAAATTTACACGTGATTGAACATTAAAACAACCAAATTAAAATAAAATCAGTCTGAGGTAGACACAAAGGAACTTGATCAAAAAAGTGGAACACAAGAGTTGTTTGATCATTAATCAAATAAAATATACTTCACAGTCAGTAAAATACAATACTTTTGATATTTCTAAGTAATTTTAAACATATACATGTATGACCAGTGTATTCTTTGAATATCAAATATTTCAATTATCAAATACATGTAGTACATGCACATGTATATAAAGCAAATCATATCTTCACATTCTTACACATTCGTTCTCCTACATAATGATCAGAGTAAAACACAAGGCACAGCTTCTTTTGATCAATATTAAGACATACACTTCTTTACAAGCTTGTTTATGGAATACTAGCATAAAAAGTGCAGTGAGAAAAATTGAAGAAATACTGTAAAATCACATATTTTCGTGGGAACACATTTTCGAGGTTTGAGAAAAATATGAATATGTGGGGATACAATTTCGTGGTAGAGAAGTGGTGAGTAATAATGCATATTAAATTTTACATTTCGTGGTGGTCATATACTTGAGGGTCTCTCCATACCTTGAAAACAATGAAAATGAAACCTCCACGAAAATTAGTGACCTCACAGTAATATGTATTCATGAGCCTGACAATGAAAAAGTAGAATGAACTGGCCAAAAAAGGGCTTTAAATCAAAATCTCTCACAGCAACTTTATGACACACAAATAATATACAGTGTAATAAAAACATTTCCCATTTACTGCATGTGATGTGAAACTATTAAGACTTGGAAGCAAGATTGAGCATTGTAGACAAAAGAACAGAGAAAAGAGCCAAGTCCTGCAGCTCTCCACTTTATGAAAAATCAGTGCCAAAGTAGCGATCTCCAAAGTTACCTGAAAAGATCAGAAACATGAATTACTTTTAATATACAATTTTTAGAATCTCTGCCAATAATTTCAAAATCAAATGCCACATTTCTTTAATATTTTTGAAAAAGAGGTTGAGAGGGTACAATTAACAAAGATACCAACCTATGCCTGGTAAAATATGGAATTGTTCATTTACTTCCTTGTCAACTGCAGTTGTGAAAATTTTTACTTTGGGGAATGCATAAGCAACTGAATGGACACCTGAAAATGATGCAGGTAACAATAAATATTTAAAATAGTGATACATTTACCTACACTAATATGCTTCTGTTTACCTTTTAGTGTACCAAGCAAGAATAAAGCACAGAATTTCATATAATGCTACATTAAAATTAAAAGACCATTCTTCAGTATGAATATTTTACAAAACAAAACAAAAGTCTTTTCACACAGAATATACAGGTACTTATGATATATAAAAGCTGCCCTAACAACTGTTCAAAATTTATGCCAAACCTGCAGATTAAAGCTGTTCAAAGTTTGACAAACTCAAATGGCTGTCAAAAATTTTGCTTCCCGAAGAAAGGTTTGGTCAGAAGAATACAGATCTGAAGTAAAATATAAAAGCCCTATCACCAACTATTTAAAAATTATGGTCATGGTTAAAGTATGGTAAAAATTTGTAAAAGTAGGTCAAACTGAGGTCAAGGTCAAGCCACCAAATATGTTGGTATCCCAAAGAAAGGTCTTATCACAAGGAATATACATATAAAATATGAAAAGCCCTAGCCCACCATTTAAAAGTTATGAAGAAGGCTCAAGTTTTTACAAAAAAACAGATAGATGGACAAACTAAAAACTAAACTAAAAGCTCTCAAAATCTTCAATTACTATATATGGATATAAAATACACAAAATTGATAGTCTTAAAAAAACCCCAGATTTTATGTCCATTAATGAAGTGACCTGTTTCTGCCATCAGTAGGGACAGAAGGGTGATGTTTTCTTCAGGGACGTCATGATCTAACAAGACTCGGATCGCCATCATGGCCGCTGCACCTGTTGCCACGGTAGCATCCATCAACATAACATGAGATTCTTTAATGTCCTTTGGTAGACGGAGGTAGTGTAACTGTGATTAGAAACAAATATGAAGGTTATCTACTCTAGACTAATGGAAACAATTCATTTCAAGGAATTGAGGGGTGCTAGAAACATACATTATACCATATGAAATTTGATTCAGTAACATATGGTAATCTTTTATACCAAAAATTTACACTTATTAGCCAAGGAAAAAAGAATTTTTTGTGTTTCTTACTTCAGCACTACTTTTAATTAGTTGCAGAATGTAAGATTTCTATTAATTAACATTTTTTTTATTGAAAGGTTACATCAGTGAAGTTTTCTACCGTGGACAGAGGAAGAGAGACTAAACTATTGGAATCTTATACAACAAGGCTACATCATGTTTATTGGGTCATTACCTCTGGTTCACCCGTGTCTAAGTTGGTCTGAATTAGAATTTTTCCCAGCCTGATGTCCTTGCACACTTCACATAGAGCCTGTTCCATTGTCTCCCCAGCTCTCAATATAGAAACTCCACAAATCTGTAAACAAGACAGTCAAATATTGCTTATTCTTCAATCCAATGTTAATGCATATTAATATAGGTGTTCATCTTTTCTAAATTCTGAAAAATGAGCCAAGTTTTCAAAATAAAAATAAATTCATTTGCATCATGCTTTACTATCAGTTTTATAACTTTCATTTGTTTT